CCCATTTAATTCTGGCACTCAAAGATTGTCGCGGAGTTGGAGAGTGCTTTCATTATTATACAAAAAATCCCACCCGCCCCGACTGTGTGATGACTGTGTGCGAACGTCTCACATGATCTTGACATGCAAACCAAGTCTCTACGACAGCATTGACATTGTCTATGTGAAGAGCAATGGGAGACTCTTTTTGGGAAACTTGAGATCGAAATTGGCATTGGTATTATTTTGGCAAAACTTAGAATCTCCATCTGGGAGATGGAAGACCATTGAAGAGCATTGGGGTATTCTTTGAACGGGAGATTCAAGAGGATTGGAACATTCTTTAAATCTTAAGAATAGAGACCATTGAAACTCTTTAAAAAAAACTGAAGACCAAAGATCATTGAAGAGATGATAAAAAGGGGACTGGCACTCTTTTAGAACTGCACATAAAAGGGGCACGTGTTGGGCACGTTCTTTGAATTTACGATGGAAGACCGCTGGAAACTAACACACAGAAGAGTCTTGGAGCTTCCTATGAGCTAATAAATGAGCATATATGTATCTAATATACTCGTAATACGTACAATTGCTGCCCTGATAATCGGCCAAGTCGAAATGAATTCCGCATTTGCCAATGCATTGACTTGCCAAATGGCCGCATAATTAGCTCCGTGCTTCGCTTCTCTTCTGCAGTGGCTCCACCACTGCCATTCCGGCAGGCACTCTGACATCGCCTCACCGCCACACCGCCACTCTGCCACTTTGACATAATTGAAGTAAGTGCCAATAAACTGCATGTAATGACAGAGCAAGCGGGTGCAAGAGAGGCAGCTGGCAGAGCTGGAAGCCAGAGCACAACCATCATTAGTAACGCACCAAACAGAGGCAGTGGCAAACCCCAGTGGGTGTTGTGTGTGGTGTGGTGGTGCCGCTTGGTTCCACGCCATGAATCACACATATATGTATGTGTATGCGAGCAATGAAATGCGAATTGCAACGAAAGTGTCACCTCAACCGAATGGGGGGGATGCCGAAAGAGCAGCCAAATCCATTCCCATTCCCATCCAGGCCCCTCGAAATGCCTTTACAGACACCATACATTATCTCGAATCATTTCCTGACTTTCGTTTCTCCTCTCTCTCTCTCTCTCTGGTTTTTCTGCAGCAAGTCTACCTGGCACTGCGGTGGCCCATCAACTGGTGGTGGCCATACGGCAAAAGTGCTCGCCCGAGGAGGTGGTCAACATTCTGAAGGAAATACCGAATAGCGGCTATAGCGGCGAGGAGATGTCGGATGGTACCTTTAATGCGTTGAAGATTGATGTTTTTGTACAGACGTTGCTGAACCTGGGATCCAAGTCGTTTTCGCACAGCTTTGCGGCCATCTCGAAGTTCCATTCGGTGTTCCGCGCCTTGGCGGAGACGGAGGAGGCACAGATCTGTGTGCTGCACAACATCTACGAGCTGTGGTCGTCGCACCAGCAGATGATGGTCGTGCTGGTGGATAAGTTGCTCAAGCTGCAGATTGTCGACTGCTCGGCCGTGGCCACATGGATATTCTCCAAGGAGATGACCAGCGAATTCACCAAAATGTATCTCTGGGAGATCCTCCATCTCACCATCAAGAAGATGAACAAGCACGTGATCAAGCTGAGTGAGTTGTCAGAGCAGGCGCATCTCCCCCTTACAGATCGTTTCTTTAAACCAATGTAATCTCTTGACCAGACACTGAGCTAAGCGTGGCCAAGGATAAGCTGTCCAAGGCGGACTCCTCGTCCAGCGAATCCGATGAGGACGCACCGACAAAGCGCAAGAAGCCCATCACGCATGCTGACAAACCCTCCGAGGAGGTAAGTTCTACACGCCATCATACCCATATTTCCATTCACTGATTGATAATCTCTCTCCCTCTAATTTTCTCTCTGGCAGGCGGTGGAGCGCATGGAGGAGAAACTGGAGGCAGCGAATGTGAACCAAAAGCGTTTGTTCCTCATCGTTTTCCAGCGGTTCATCATGATACTCTCCGAGCATATGCTGCGCTCCGATACCGATGGACGTGACCCGGATACGGACTGGTATCGTTGGACCATTGGACGTTTGCAGCAGGTCTTTCTAATGGTTAGTCCATCCTTCATATCCTCAATGGAATCCACACTAATGGCTTGCCTTCTTTTAGCATCACGAACAAGTTCAAAAATATAGCAGCACTTTGGAGACACTGCTGTTCACCTCCGACCTGGATACACACATATTGGAGGTGTTCCAACAGTTTGTGGCCTTGCGTGCCTAACAAAAGAAACAGAAACGAAACAGAGGACGAAACCTACTATAAGAACTGTCAGGGGCACTAGAAGCACCCAATAACAGAATTGACAACAATCCAAACACCCAAATACACACAAAAACATCCAATTAGCTCCATTTCTATATATATATTTTTTCCGAAAACTGGTTTTATATAGACATCTTATAGTCTCTGTTGCAATTATTTAACGTGTTTAATAATTCTTATAATATTCATTCATTTGGCTTTCAAAACCCTCCATACACCCACACCACTCCACCCCAAGAAACACAACATCTATGCCTAAGCCTGAAATTTTTTTGTAATATGTAAACAGACGACAAAATCAGAAGAATCAACAGAATTGAGAATAAAGTCCAAAGGGAATGGTTCTTGATACATAAAAAAAAAAAAAAAAAAAACCATCAAGAAGGTTAGATCAAACTATGTTTATATGATTTCAGAATAGGAATATATTGATATTGAGGTATTCAGGTATTGAGAAAATGTGGGAACCCATCTCGAGGATTCGGTTGGATAAGTCTTTGCCACACTCTGCGCTAAAAATACATAAAAACGATTTCAAAGAAAAATAATAAAAATCATAGCCTAAACCAATAAATAGATAATTATAATTATAACTAATGAATAGACCAATCACAATCTAATAGAAATATCCACCTTCGGCTAGTAGATAATTTTTTCAACCTCTGTAGATGTGGATATTACTGCCCATATAGTGCTCAAAGCCTTACTTGCCATCATTAAACGTTCAGAAGGAAAGTCAGAGATATACATATATACCCTCCCTTAGATATGAGGGTTTCGTCTAGTCTCCCAGAAATATGCAAGACTATGTCTATGAGTACAATATTTTGGGGTTTCTTTATGACTCCTGTTTCATGGGCAGCATTAAATAAACAGAGCATGGGGCCTTCAAGAAAGGTAATCACCAAACTGACCTACGAATATATTGTCCATTCTGACAAACCATATGCTATAATGATGGTCGGAAATCTACTCGTAGCTCAAAGCAAAACAAAGCAGGCGGTACATAACTACTTATTTAATAACACATTTTTTCAAATGAAAGCGGAGCTAATAGTTTCCCATTTATATTCAAATCGTAAAGAAATCATAGTTGATTTACGTTTGAAATTCCCAGTATAGTATTTGGGCAAAATGACTTCTTCCATAATCCTGTGCATCGTTTGTTTGATGATCGTAAGGAGTACCCGCAATGGCATTGAATTAACTCTTTATTCAATACCGTACAATCGCAGATGATCTGTCTAAAGATTCGATGCGCTCAACGGATAACCAATAGGGATAAGGAGCAAACCATGTCAGCTGAGAATGATTTTCCATGGTTGCCAGACCCAGAGGTCGAAGAACTCGTTGTGGTGGGCTCAGGGTCGGGCCCCATCGATCACAAGCCCACGTACTGGATGCTTCTGTAAGAGAGTCTCAGTCGCGGCAGTCCTCTTGTCTGCGCATATGTTGCAGACCTACAGACATACAGACAAGTAAATATTAATTGGAAAATATAAAGCACTTATTTCATACATACTCGTGCATTTCAATGGATACTTTAACTCGAGGTAACGCCAGCGTAATACTAATAGTTTGAAGAACAGGATGGGTTCCAATTCAAATCTACGATCCACGGTCTACGTTCAGTACCCACCTGCAGCTTTTAGTCCCCATACCACTGCTGTTTTTCACACACTGATCGAAGCTCGAATATGAGTATGACCTGAAAACTTATATTTGAAAGCAGCCAACGAATTACAAAGTCATGTTGATAGGTTCTCTATGTTTCAAATGCATATTTTCCATTAAATATGAATATATTTTATGGTGGAACGTGAGCGGACGTGCATTTTCCATGTCTCCATTTCTTTTTCCCACAAATAAGCAGTTGGATTTACCGATAATGATGATGATGATATCGAGCATTCATCATATAGTCTCATTTGTCTGAGGGAACGGGTTAACATTGCTGGAATAACGGCCAATAATGCCCATTTCATAAGTCGCATAATTCTAATAGTTCGCTTGAACAGCATTTACGGCACTCACCTGATTTGGACCGTACTTTTAGGAATAAAGCACCACCTAAAAATATGTCTCATTGTTTGGCTTTCGAGGTCTGGACTTCTTACTGTTCTTTTCAATTATCTCGGTATAATACTCTTAACTAGTTCCTAGGACTTTACTCATATACAAATTTCTTTTTTGTTGATATTTTTCTCTGATCCTGTCTTGGTATTACCCTTTTTTACAACAAATCCCTGTCACCATCCACGTTTCCCACCTGGTTGACCGCCTGGTTATCTTCTGTGGATTTATCAATTTTCAGTGGCTAGCCGCCTTCCAAGCTCTGTTCATTTTCTCTCTCTTTCTCTCTATCGGCTATCGATGTAGAGCCGCGCCAAGGGCCGCGGCTCACAAAGTGCCCGCTTGTTTTGCTGCTGTAGGCATGGTCGTCTCCATACGCACAAGGCACAAAGTGCAAATAGGAAAAAAACAAATGCTCCCCCAAAGATTTAATTAGTTTCAAGCTCTGAGCAAAATCCTTTTTCGCCAGGTGAAATCGTATGGACCAACTTTGATACCCAACATTTTCGCCCACATGGGGGTAAATACGTATGTATTTTATATAGTATATATGTATGTATATTTGTCATCTTTTTGTATATATATATATATATATATATATATATGTATGTATATAGATCTGTTTTTGTTGTATGCTCTAAATATATGAAAATATATATATTTTCCTATTTAGTTTCCATGCTGTTGCTTGAACGTTTGGCATTGGCTTTGGTTCAGGATTCAGATTCAGATTCATATTCATATTCAGGTTCAGGTTCAGGTCGGCTTCAGGTTCAAGAGCAGGTTAAGAAAAGCGGATACATCATATCGATATGACTGTGCACGTCCTATAGCTAAACTTGTAATTGTAATTGTAATTGTAATTGCTTTGTGTAGATTTGTAACCGTTTCCATTAGTAGCTTGTCCAGGTCGTCATCTCGCAATTTCGCTTGGATCGTCTAGGAAGAAGTGCGCGGCTGACTGGGTACGTACTTCTCCGATGGCTGGTACTGCCACTGGGCACAGATGGCCTCCTGCTCCGTTTCATTGTAGCCAGCCCTGTGGGGAAAAGGGTGGCAGGTGGCAAAGCGGCGGGAGAGAGACATACAGAAGGGAAGGGAGAGCAATAGTTATGGATAATAGTTCTCAACGAGTTTATTGGAGGAAGTGGAGGTGGTCAACTAGCTAATGGATATGCCGAGCGTGAGGGGGAATTGGAATTGGAATGGGGAACGGGAACGGGAACAGGAGCAGGAACAGGAACAGGAATCGAATCACACATGCATATGGCTAAGTGGACTGGCTCTACTGGCTCTACTGGCAGTGACTACTACTTATGACTACTAATACTACACGGGAACAGTCTTCTGAGCTCTCTCGGCTCCCACCATCAGCTCCAACGAGAGCCGTAGCTACCATAGCCATATGACGACCCTGGCCCTGGCCGCTCGTAGTAGTAGCCGCCTGGCGGCGATCCCCCGAACCGCGGTGGCAGCTCCCTGCTGACGGGCGCATGCAGGCTCTCCCAAAGAAGACGCGGCCGCTGGACCACCTCACGGATAATGTTGACTGCCGCCAGGCCGACGCTGGCGAGCTTAACGCCAAAGCGGCGGGCCGTGAGCTTGGCCGGGGCCAGGGCCGGTGCGGCGGCGGCCAGGGAACGACTTTGCTGCACTGGATGGGCCAGGATCTTGGCTATCAGATTGTCCCCGTGCGGTGGAACATAAAGGTCCGCCTGCCGGAACTCGGCCGGGCACTGATTGGTGCGGTAATAGAAATCCTCGAACCTCTGGTGCGCCGAGCAGGGACTGCGCTCCTGGAAGCACGTCACCTGCACCACATTGTAGAAGATCGCCCCCAAAGTATTGGCCGTCTCCGTGTTGGCCGCCTGCAGGCAGCGCCGGAATCTCGCGTCGCAGTCACAGTGAGAGCGTGTGAAGGTACCCCGGTTACACAATCCCCGCCTGCACTCGCCCACGTTCAAGACATCTGGGCACATGTCGTGCTCGCGACAGCATCTATCCTCCCGCGTATGGGCGCCCAGATCGTCGTAGCTGGTGGCCGCTGTCCCGGGGCCACACCATTTGGTCCCCGGATAGATGAAGCCCAGGCCGCCGCGGAACTCATGACCATAGGAGCCCTGATGCCGGCACACCTCCTCCAGCTCCATTACGGACTCGCGCGGCACCTGGCGGATGCGTCGTGGATCCGACTGCAGCAGCATCCGTTGAATGTCGCCGCTGGAAGAGATTCACCACGGGAAATGGAAGATCTGAGGATATGTGTTTCTATGAGTGACTCACCGATCTCTGTGCATCTTGCAGAAGGGATGTCGGGACGAGAGTTCCACCATCACAGTCATGGTCATGTCCGAGATGAGCACAGCCGATCCGGAGCTAGGCGGCAGCGTCGCTCCTAGCCACAGCAGCAGCACCGCCAACGGCAGCGCCTCCTTCATCGTCCTGCCGGCTATAAAAGGGAGAAGGACGAAAGAAGCAGACAGAGAGCTGGAGTGAGTGATGTGCTTGGACGAGCTGTTGGACCGACAATGGTATGTGGGCCAATCATTAGCAGCTGAATGATGATCGCCCGCAACTGGTGATTTTGCATTTCTATGGCCCATAGATATGGTCTGACCTCTGGCCGGCCACTCACAGAATCCCCCGACGGCACACTGTCGCCAGCTCCATTCGAATGCGGCATCGCTATCCACCCTGGCCCTGCGAGCCCCTTCCCGCAAACTATTGAGCCACTGTAAAGCGACGATCAAAACAAAAGGCAACACAAAACAAATGTGAAAAAAACCGCCACAAAAACGTCCAAACGACGAAAACAATTTGCAAAACAAGAAGAGAAGGAAGTTTGCGGAAGTTCGGCAACCGAAACTTTTGATACCCTTTCAGGTACCCATCGTTCCTACATATGTTACATCCGAAACGGCTGTTTATCCGTGGAGGCATTTTCAATTATTTCATCCAATTTCAACAAAAGTTTCCCTAGAGCAGAAAGGATAAGGAATAATACATACATACATATGTGTTACTGCTAACATCTGCCCAAGAAACATAATACCCTCTGTCAGGGTATCACAAAAGACGATGGATTATAATGAACGGTAATATTGCGTGGTGTGTTGCGGGCAGGGAGCGAGAGAACGAACAGCCGATCAGTAGAGCGTCATGGGGGGGAGGTGGGCAGAGGGAGAGAGCGCGAAAACCTCGGACGAGCGACCTACCCCAAAAGCCCGCTCTTTCAGTCAGGAAGACGCTTGAGTGCGGCTAGTATTTATGTATAAACGCTGTCGCTTGCCGCTGGCCGCCGCTTTTGTGGGTCAGTTGAAGGTGGAGGCGTCAGCTTGTTACCAATTCTTGTGCTTCTTCTCTTCTTTGCTTTTGGCCAACTCGAAAAGGTGAAGGCCAGAACCGGCTAGGTCTGTCCATCTCTTGTTAATTAGTCAAAGTAGATGACGCGAGCCGCGCACCAAACCGGGGATCGGTTCACTATAAGAGTTGGATTCTACTCCATGCCACCACACCTTAACGTTATTATTTGGTTACTTCTATAGCCAGGCCAAGGAGCTATGTATGTACAAATGTACTATTTTACCCATCACGTTCCGCTCAGGTTTAAAGTGAGAAAATAATTAATGATGACAGTTTGTAGCCGCTTATTATAAGTATTATTTATGTTGTTTGCCCAATTGTTTATTGTTTTCTCAGTGCGGGCCTGAGAATGACCGCGAGAGTAAGAGTGAGAGTGAGTGAGCCAGCTGTCCTCACTGTGTACATACACACATACATATGTACATTTGTAAATGCACCTGTGGGGGAGCGTGAGAATGTGCCGTGTGCATTGTGCGTGCGAGTTAGTAAACTCTGCGGCCATTGTTTGAGTGAGCTGTGGAAGCAAGCGGAGCAAGAATACGGTAAAGAGAGAGAGAGAGAGACTGGTGTGGTGTGATGGCAGGACTGCTCTCTGAGCGGTTCTACATACGAATATGTTCTTTACACTAAATCTTGTCAGGTTGTTATTAACATTCTTTTCACTCGCATTCATCTATTCATTTGCCTCTCACTCCCACTCACCAGGACTATTTACACACACATGTGCGTTCGATGACAGCACTTGTTGTCTCTTACCATCCTCTCTGAACGACTCTCTCACCAACAACAGAAACAACGGCCAGAAAAGTAACACAGAGCTTGAGTAAATTGTGAGTGCAGGTGGAACCGCAGCAGGGAGAGCAGAGTGCCTTGAGCCTGTCACTCAACCCACCACCGCTCTCAATGAAGTAAAAGAGACAATACATAACGATCAATCCCAATTTCGCATTAATTATCGCACTGACAAGTGACAACAATGTATTATAAATCTATAATCTATTATTAGATCTTTGATTGCCAATCGGTTCTACCAGTAAACATAACGAATTAACCATGCTTAACAGCTGACCTAATCAATTTGCAATCACCAAAGAGTGAGGCATCTCTTCTGCTGCCCCTGCCCCTGCCTCTGCCTTTGCTTCTCTTCTCCTTCTTTTACGGCATTGGCTTATCTTCTGAGCGATCTCCAACTACGTCGCCGTTTGCTGGCGTCGTCACCATTACCGTTCGCATAATTTTCAATGTCAATGCTTTTGCTTTTGCTTTTTAATTTCATGGCATAATAAGCCATGGGGCCCCCTGTCTCCGTCTGTGTAGCCATCGCAGCTGCTCCCTCTCTCCCCGCCGCCCGCATGTCAAAGTGTGGCAAAGAGTGCGAAAGAAAACGAAAACAGAAAATGAAGCCTGGCTGTAGAAGCCGAAAAATTTGATACCCTTTGAAAATTATTGATACAAAAAATTGTGACCATTTGTATCACTTTTTTTAATTTTAAGCTAAGAAGAACACACGTTCTTCATGAATTTTCATTTTAAATCGGCTTCAAAGCTAAGAGACTCCCTATTGTACATCTTACTTTTGTTTCGTTCACTGCCCGCCTTGAAAGGGTATCAAGAAAAAGCTCAAAAGCGAATCGAGATCGATCGCTGGCTTTGCATGCCTGTAAGTGTACTGGGCTTCGACGCTGATTTATTTGTGTGTGTGCGTACAATGACCGCTGGATGCCTCTCTGCCTGTCTGCACCACCCCTCCTCCTGCTGGCGGAGCACTTGAGCCGTTTATAGATCTTTCGTGTATGCTCAAAAACTATAACTCTTGTTTTATTGGCGCCTCCCAAAACTGTCACTCAGCAGAAAGAGATCAACATCAGATCAGACTCAAACACCCGATGGTAGTGTGTGTGTGTGTTTGTTTTTGGGGGCCATTAAACCTCGGGGAATGTGCCTGTACCTTGGTTTATGCCTGCCAGAAAAACGAATGAACTTTGGCTCCCACTCCACACTGCTGGTGCTTCTGGACCTAGCCCTAGGCGGAAATATCTTCCCCTAACTAGTCCGCCCGGAGGGGGGACAGGCGTGTCTCCGATCCATACATCATCAATCAATGCAGCTGTGTGAGTGAGTGTCTCCTGTACGGGTAACAGTCTGCAGCACTGGGAGCCCTTCACTCTTAACGCATCCGAAACTGGTTTCAGGCAGCAGCACAAAAGTCTGTTTGCATTTTGAATGTCACGCTGTTGTTATTGTGGTTATTGTTGCAGCCGCCAACTGATTCTGAGTGAGCGTTGCCATGTAACAACAATAAAAACTCGTAATCCCCCCGAATCCCCAATGCCCCCATGCCGTCCCCGACAAGAGCACACGGCGAGACATGTGTGTGTGCGTACTGTCTGCTGCGGTACGTGGTAATTGCTGGACGATGGACGCTACCACAGCCCCACACAGATAGCCATCTCTGTAATTGCCGGAGCAACCGGAGACGACAACCTTCCGACGTGCTCGACTGTGACCTGGCCCAAAAGGAACCTGTCCTTGTCCATTTTCTGATATTGGGGTCAAGTTGAAGATCAGCAGCAGCAGCAGCAGTTGCAGAAGCAGACACAAACTTTCTAGGATCTGTATTTAGGTCGATCGATTTATGGCATATCTATAGGCACACAGGCAAACAGACAAACACCTCGCTTTGTACCGGGAACCAGATGGAACGAAGACGGGCCATCCATCAAGCGATGGTACGATCGAACGTTGGGTGGATCGGGTACGGATACACGGATCGGATCGCATCGGATCGGACTCGATTGGATTGGATGGACAGTGGCGGTCATTGAACGCCTTCGCCGAAGGTCGCCCCATACGAGCAGAGACAAAAGATATGCACAGTCTCGATCGGAAACTGAAACTGAAAGCGACCCCCAGGCGCTAATTGCCATGCAATAGAGGAAACCCAATCTCACACGGCCTATGCGGTGGATGGGGGTGGCACGGCAGTGTGGCAGTGTGGCAGTGGCAGGGGAAACTATGTGATGGCTGGGGGGTAAAGCCAATCGGAAGTGAGCCAAGAACAAAGGTGTTTACTTTCGCAATTGGCCAACGGATCGTCGAAGGGGGTCTAGAACCAAAACACTGTACATACAGTACATCCACCGGCCGAACACGAGGGTAAATGACCTTCTCATCACCCCCCGCAAATCCCCCCAAGCCCCACCAAAGACTATCAGTTCATTCTACCAATGTGTGCTAATCACTGAGTCAATTTCGCAGCTTGTCGAGGTAATGTCTTGTCAAAGATGAATGTGCGAAAAGCGCCCATGGGTGCAGGGGGGGGCAATCTCGGTATCTGGCCGATCGGCCCCACAAATATTTGGCCACATCGCCCAGGCTAGAGTCTAGTGTCCACAATTCCGCGACTCAAAAATGGAGAGGTGTTTGCCATGCAAATGCCAGACGTTCTGTTGGGACTTGGGGTGCGGTTTGGGTGGGGCTTTTGTATCCAAGAGATGATGTTCCAGCTGCTGTCATAACACCCATCTACAGATCTACATACTATGTATGTAATGTTGTATCAGTAACATCTCAATCACATTCAATTAGTTACGTAAAAACCCTTTCGATAATATCGATCAAGCTGATTCAATCACAATCAATCAATTACTTATTTATCTTGTATTTTGCTGTATTTTGTAAGCAATAAATATTAGTTATATTTCCCTCTAAAGTTCCTTTTCCATTCCATACGATAACGTTTGTATTAGAGATCCTTTTCTCATTCTACTTTCTTTGGAAGCTTTTTTTATAAAATCAAAGAAGAACCAAACCAACAGTAACCAAAATCAAAAAGAAACAGAAACAGAGAGTTATCCTATATACCCTTTTATGTGCAAGTATCATCTATAATTTTTCCTAAGGAAAACTGTCAACTTTCCATTTCTTCGATCAGGTCTTTAGGCTCCATAAGAAATGTGCCGTAATTCTTAATCATTCCTTTCAAAAGTTTTTCATTGCTAATTTCAACATCTTTATACAAATAATTTAGTTTTATTTCAGAATAAGGATATTCTGAATATGTATCTTTAAAAATCTCTAAAGTTCCTTTTGTGCATTCAAGCCGTTTAAAATTGTTCCTTTTAATGTTTTTATCCTTCAGATATAGAGAATATTACTCTATGAAAAAAAGACTTCCTCAGGGACTCTCTCGGCTTTTCAACCCTCTCTCTCTCTCTCTCTCTCTCTCTCTATAGAGCTTACAGTTTTTCCACATTTGTTCTGTTTAACGGTTTTTCCCACAATTTACGCTTTTCCGCCTTTCACTCTTGCATCCCAAATGTGTGTCTGCTTTAATCACAAGGCCGACTGGTTGCCTTCACCTATTGACATTTGGCCCACAACACACAGGCCACCCCACCCTCACCCTCCTGACTGTCAGCCTGCTCTGGCCCCACCCCCAGTCCAGGCCCACACACCCTCGCCGTGGCCTTCGTGCGTAAATGACCTTCAAAAGGCACCAACACCATCACCACCGCCAGCGCCAGCAACACCAACAAGAAGGACACGTGTCTGCACTTCACAACACAGGAAAAAACAACAGGAAACACAACGCAAAACAATAGAACAAAAATGGTTCGAATATCCTTTTTAACCGTTTCGACCGATTCAATTTACCTGATACGGTTCAAAAACAAAAAACAACTGTAACGAAATGGGCTCTTGCTTTTGAAGGGTTTTGTTCGCTTTTTTATGGAATTGAAATTTGGGTTTCCTTTTTCTGGAGAGAGCTGCCACAGGACGGCAGCAGGGTCTACGGGAAGGAGGAGGACGCGTTAGAGGTGACGACGATGCTCGGAGCAAAACATTTCCGCGACGCGTTTGCGGCGCAACTGAACTTGATTCTGGCGCGTCGGGCCATGTTAAACTTGGACTTGGCCAAAAAAAAAAAAAATAAAATAAGAGAAAAAGAGAAAAATACAAATTGAAAAGCAGCCGCCGCCGACGACGACGACGGCGACAGCAGCAGCAGCGGCGGCTAAGAAACAAATTTACAAAAACAAGATCCGCCGCAGCAGCAACAGCAACGGCAACGGCGGGGGAAGCAGCAGGCAGACGGACTAGAAGCTTGACGCCGCCGCCACCGAAAGCCGACGGAAGCTGCTGCACTGGGAACATGCCATGGGCGTAGCCAGAAGGATATGCAAAAATATCCAAATATTCTTTCGCACCCTCATAACGCTACCTCTGTCTCTCTCTCTCTCTGTGGAGTGGTTCTCCTCTTGGATGCCCTTGGGCTACGCCCCTGGACACGCACGCCCGCAGGCACAAGGTGCAAAATCGAAGATGAAGCGCAGCGTCCAAAAGCGGCCCAAACAAAGCCAAAGAATTGCAAAGCCAATCGAAAGCTTCCACTCAACCCGTTGCTTCAGGAAAGCTCAAGACTCAATATGGATTTCACGGTCAATCGAAAGCTTATGATCCAAGCTTTTGTCACATGCGGTTAAAGTCACGGCTAAAACGTAACCGTTTCGATAACCGTTTGGCGCGCAAATAGAGCTTATTTTCATTTTGAATCTCTTGACCACTTGGATATACCTCTAAGAGCTTACAGAATGAAACGCTTCAAAAAGTATACCAAATTGCAGGATTCTGTTTACAGTCTCTACCAGATCCAATATGACACCATTATTTCTTTCGCTTTGTAATTATTCACAAAAAAGGGTGTGTGAGAGAGAGACAGAAAGTGAGTAAGCGGCGTGGCCACGCTGCGTAGCCACTGCAAATTGATTTGTTCCTTCTGGCTATAATAATAATCAGATTTGATCCAGCAATCTGGTAGATATAGTCATTCTGTTCAATTCCCTACAAATTGGCCACTGAATCGGAAGTAAGGCACTCTTGTATCCTTAATTATTTCAAATCCTCAGTGAAATGTTGGAAATGCACCAAAAAAAAACCGCCTCTCATATGTACAGCAATCGATCAGCTAGGATATTATCCCTCCATCGATTAAGAACCACAAAATGTTGGGGGTTTGGGGGGCGCATAATATATAGAAATTGTATGCATTTATTGAGTACACAATAGAGTGTGGTGTGGAGACAGCTGGGAATAAAGAAAATACACGGACTCTAGATCATGGAAAAGTTTCAGTTTATGAACCGTTTCGTGCTGATATTTACAGAAATCAAAGGCCTTTTTTCACATTGGGGCACATTGTAAAATTGTATAAATTTATTTAATATACATAGTGTATAAATGTGTGTGTGTTTTGTTTTGCTGTGAGGGCGTTCTAGAAAAAAGCAAATGCATACGGCGGATAGTATGCTATTGCGGGGGATTATGTCTTAGAGGCTATGCAAAAAAAAATAAAATAATGTATATATATCTACATATATATATGTACATATATAGTTGTATCCAATGTCTTAAGAATAGTGTTTACCCAATTAAGCAAAAAAATAGGAGAGCCAACAAAAATTCTAAAGTTATCGCGTATAGATACAGGTTTGCTTTTTTTTTTTGTTACGAATTACAAACCAAAATTTAGGCTTAGACTTGGTTCGGTTTCAGTTCTGTTGTTGTTTTGCCTTGGGAGTTCTCATCGATTGCCCTCTACTTGTTCTTATAAATGTTGCTAAATGTTAGACCATTTCTATACAGAGACTCTTAAACTAAGGACTATAGACTATAAGCTATTGATTGGTGTTAGTTCTCTTTTATTGTTACTGTTGCTGTTTCCATTGCTGCTTGTTGGATAATTTGGTTTATTGTGGCGGCCAGATAGATGATGAATTGAACAAAAGGACTTTGTTAGCGGATAAGCAAATGAACGATTGAGAGACTGGTCATCTGTCTGGAGATGCACTGACTGTACCACACAAGATGCCATATCTCCTGCTCTCTCTCGTATAACAGATATCCGTAACTAAATGAACACTTTACAATAATGTTAACATAAAATTTTGGTAAATCTCTACTCGATTTCATTGCTTGCTTATCGTCGGCTTGGTTGCTTCCTTGCTTTAGTTGCTGCTTGATTTGATTTATTGATTGATTGATTGGCTGCTAGTTTTGTTGCTTGGTGTGGATTTTGTTGGTTTCGTTTTTGTTTTGGTTGCCTTTGGCGCCTCTCTCAGTCTTCGTGGCAGTGTGCTGGTCCCCCAACATGGCCAACAAGCCCCCACACAACATGTTGGCGAATGGTGTATGTGTCTGTATAAGTGGTGTGTGGTGTGTGGTGTGGTGCGGTGCCGTTTGGTGTCGTGTAGAATCTATCTGATGTTTGCAAACAAGTTAAGGACAGACTTGTTCTCCTTCTGGCTGCGCGCCTTGCTGAACACGTTCCAGAAGCGCAGCGTTTCATCGCCGGCGCCCGTGACAATGGCTTCGCCATCGGGACTGAGCGCCAGATAGAGCACACGGTACGAATGACCAGTCAATTTGGCCACCTGCGTCAGCGATGGGTACTTCCACACCAGTATCTGGTTCTGGGAGTAGCCGTGCGTGGAGACCAGCTCCGAGGAGTGCTTGGACCAGGCCAGATTGCACACCTGCGACCCAGTGTCCACGCACTGCATGGGCTGGCCGGTCAGCGTGTTCCAGAATCGAATGCAACGATCTGCCGTCCCGCCGCCGCTGGCCAGCAGTCCGTGATGGTGCGGCGACCAGGCAATGGCCTTCACAGCGGCCATGTGCTCCGTGTACGATTGCACAGGACTCACCGAGTGCTGGTTCCACACATACAGGCGATTGTCGTTGCCGCCGCTGGCCAGGTACTGGTTATCGGGTGACCACTTGAGGCCGCACACCTCCTGACGGTGGCCGGCCAGGCGGCGTTCGGACTGGAGTTGTGGTGTGCGCGTGTCGCGCTGGATGATCCAACGGTCGCGCGATCCACTTGACAGGATGTCACTGTTCCAGGCCAAAGCGCCCACGCGGGCCGAATGGCCATTGAGTTTGTTGATCTGCTTATTGGCGGCCACGTCCCAAACGGTCACATAGCCATGATGGGTGCCCACGGCGACTGTATTACCCCGCTCGTTCCACGACACCGAGGTCACGGTGTTTGAATCCGGACTGAGATCACACAGGCGTGTCACCTAACGAATGAAAAATAAGAACATTAGTGGGGATTCCTCTTGGAGGTTGGTTTTAAGGACTCACCTGACTGGTGCAGGCACTCCAGAGATAGACACAGCTACCCAGACCCACGGCAAGGACATTCTGCGAGGACCAATCGACCAGATTCAAATAGAAATCATCCTGCAGCTCCGGTGCGTCCAGCACCTTGAATGGAATGCGAGAGATCTTGCGTGTGGCCTTCCGGGGCGAACGCAGTAGCTTCTGGCTCTTGGCGCTCACCGGCGACAACGAGTATGGGCATTCGCCATTGTAATCCTGCAAAACAAGAGAAGAGAAAACCGAAAGAGTGTGAGCAAGATGGCTATTACGGTGTTTTAGTTTCTAAGCGGTGGTCTTTCTTTCATCAGCGAGCTGTCGTTCCAGTTGCAGTCGCCCGATAAATTACCAAAGCAAATTTATACCAATTTCGTATCTATGGGCATTGGAAAAAAGGTAGTCGCTGGTTTTGTTTGCCTCGAGCGTACTTGGGGCGGCAATTAACGCCTCGGTGCTAAAAGCAATGACCGCGACTGTCCCCTTCTCCCCCACACCCAGCACTGCTTCGCAGAGCGGAGCTCCCACAAGCAACGGAAACTATTACTAACTGGCATTTCAATTTACATTTGGCACGCATTCCAATTTCGGGCCCCTTCCCTTCCTTCCACTTGGCTGCCACACTTCGGGGAGCACTCTTTACAATTTAATTTTAATTCATTTATTTTTGTGTGTTTGTATAGAAAATGCGAGCAGAATGTGTGTTAAGCGTATGCGTATGGGTACCCTAGGCCTACCCCTAGGCCCTTTTTCCCCACCTACCCATCCACCTTCCCAATCCAGTAGCAGCAGCAGCAGCAGCAGAAGACGCGCGACCACTTACGCAATGTTCGCATTTAAAATGCGTAAAATGCGTAAACTACGGGGCGGCGGTGGGAAAGACAACACGCAATGTAAGGCAAAATTGTACGTGCCTACGAGTGCAATGCAAAGCAAAAGAAGAAGATGAAAGAAGAGCTTGGCTTAACTGTAAATCGAATGCAATCTCCATGCATGTACTCCTAAAGAAAGAGCGAGAGATGAGTAGTAACAGCCACGGGAGTGGGGGGAGGCGCAAATCAGTGGAAACGGTACTGAGAGTACGAGAGTAAAGAGCGGCTCTGCGGCTCTTGAGTGGAAGTAGGGAGCTAAATGGTACCGTTGGTGCTATGATGAATGAGTGAAAGAGAGAGCACTACGAGCTGCTGGAACGAGGCTTCTTGAGTGGAAGTGGGAGGAAAAGGAGTGTTGTGAGTGGCAGTAGGGAACTAAATGGAACCGTTAGTGCTACGATTAATGAGTGGAAGAGAGAGCACTACGAGCTGCTGGAACGAGGCTTCTTGAGTCGAAGTGGAAGGAAAAGGAATGTTGCGAGTGGCAGTAGGGAACTAAATGGCACCGTTAATGGTTCTTGGCATGCTTTTTGAGTGGAAGTGAGAGAGGTACAATTAGCTCAGTGGCTAGTGAGTTAATATTTAGTGCAACCGCATGGCGTGCGGTCCATGAGTGCTTTCGAGTGAAAGGTAGTCCATTGCAGAGAAGTTATGGAGCACGGAGATCATTATTTCAATGTTTTTTTCTTTTTTTCCCCGCACATTTGCTTCGCTTGGTGTCAAAAACAGATACAACCCACACGCCAGCAGAAAACTAGTTACATTTTGTTCACCTTTTCTATAGAACTCCATATCGCTTACATCATCCACCTTTCCATTCCATTCCTGTCCATTCATCCATCATCGGTATCTGAATTATTTCGAATAGCATTTGTCATTGTGTGTTTGGGTATTTGGTCAGGTTCCACGCGTTTCACGATTCCGTTCTCCGATAAAAAGAGAGCAAACATCCCGACAAACACAAGTATCCCACACTCCACCCCACCCCATTTCATTCTCCATCCAAAAAAAGTCGGGTTTCGCCCCTCCAAAAGATAAGGCAACAAAAAAAGAAGGAAAACACGAGAAAGCTTTGACCTGTTGGGCTGAAGAGGTAACCCCTCCTCATGCCAAATGCCCCATACCATCTAGACAGACGTCATACCAAGACTCTTAATTCGTTTAACAAATTAAAATTTAATTCAATTAACATGCGATAGGGAGAAGGCAGGGGAAAAGAGACCCACAGATGAGACAAACAGACTCTTAATTACATTTTTGTTTTCAGATAGACTTTGTGCGTGTGTGTAGAGACCTTTAATGGTCTCACTTTACACTTAAAAAAACCACAAAAATACACGCCAAAAAAATCCAATAAACATTAATGGAAAGGAATGCTTTTAGACACCCTTTCGAGTCATTAGATGGCTCTTCCAAAAATTTTAGAAAAATAAATCTTAATTGGCGAGACTTCCTCTGAAAGAAATTTCACATGTCAGGGATATATTCCATATCCATATAGCATTATCAAAGATCGTTCCATGATATACTCAACATATTTTCCTTTACCTTAATCCCTTTTATTATCGAAAATATATGTATGTTACCTTATAACCCACAATGCCCATATGTTCCTGAAGGGTATATTTAATGGCTCTCTTTTCGGGCCTTTGTGCTTCCAAACCATTTTTCTGTGGAATGTTACACACCGAAAAGCAGTTAAAATAGCCCCATCGTCCCATAAAGCGTACAAGCAACTGCCATTAAATTTAAATGTTTTTCGATGCCACCGAAAAAAGCGAAGAGACGGGGGGACTGGACTGGACTGGACTGGAGTGGACTGTTGGTAAGCCTATTAGAAATTCAATTGTTAAAACGCGTGAAGCTCAAGTACAGGCGGAGGGGCAGTGGAGAACGGGGCATACACTGGCGATGTTTATCTGTAGTAGTAGCGACCTCTCTGACAAATGGCAAAAGGAAATCCAAAAGCTTGTAACTGATTCAAATCTTTTGCAAAACGCAAACACACAGTTTTGGATGCCCTTTCTACACACACACACACACAAATACCATATGTATCTCATGAAAAGTGAAAGCTTTGCCTTTCCGCTCCTCCCGGAATCAAGCAACAAATCAATCTGTCCCAGAGAGAGAGAGAGGGAGAGAGAGCATGAAGCACTAATCGGCAACAGTCTGTCGATAGTTTTTAAAAATCGATAAACAAGAATATCTACCACTTCGGCCCTTAAAAATCTAATAGAAATTACCCTCTGGCCCTCACGCATTTTGCGTCTCCTTTTTGTAGGCCTTCTTTCGTGTTAGTAATGCTTTTTCGGCAGTTGATTTGTTCTCTCTTTCTCTCTCTCTCTGATAGCTAACAGCGGTGGGTACTGTACTTTACATTGCACTCAAGCACAGGCCTCATTCATTCATTCATTCGAACAAAAAATTCAAATTTTTTAGCTTGCCGGCCGGCATTTCTTTTTTTTGTACCTCTACTCAAACGCTACTGCCTCTTTTTTTTTTTTGTTATACCCCTCTTTTATTTGTATTCTGGTTTTGAGGCACAGAATGTATTTCCTTTTTGTTGATGTTGGGGCCGCTACTTATGGGAAATTTGCATAGAGAATCATTCTTTTATGGATCAGGGTTATGCAGAATACAAAATCTCAAACTTTAAATATTCGATTAAAACGTATCTAGAAGATTCTTTAACCAAAAAGCACCACCCATACCGATTAGCCTACCGATCTGTCAAGGGTATCAAACGTGGCGTTGGAAGAATATCTGACAGCCATCCTCTCTCTCTCTGGGTCTGGGTCTGTGGGCGGCGCTTGGGGCACAGGCTTATAAATTAAACAAATAAACAACCAACCAGCGAAGATCCGAGAACAGTACGAGAAAAGGGGAGACTGGGGAGCTGGTAGAGAAGCCCAAGCTTCTCCGTGAATCCACAGCCAGATAGACAGACAGTGAGGTGGAGGAGACAGTGAGAGAGAGGGAGAGCTATGTTAATGGTAATTTGAACCTGTCGCGAGCTCGGACCAACTTAATCACTGCGAAGGCACCGCCAGAGGTAGAGCCACCATCAGCAGCAGGAGCAAGCACCACCACGAAAATAGTCATCGTTAATGCGATGTTAATGCAAATGTCTGCTGCATAAATTAATAATTATAATAAAAAAAAAGATTCAACAAACAATAAAAACGACCAGATTTTTGTTGGTTGGTTTTTTTTTCTTTTTTTTTTTTTTGGGCCCATGTGGAGAGTGGTTTTTTCTATAATTCTCTTAATGGCTATTCGAAATGGTCGGACACGACACATAAAGAATGGGGGGAATGAACAGGTGCACGAAATAATCGGGCGAGGGGTGTGGTGGTTTGTGATGGTTTTTATTTTTAATTTTTTATTTTAGTACAAGCTAAAAATTCTTGTTGAATCGTGCAGAACCGTGAGTGAAGATTCAAAAGAAATAAGCGAAAGAATTATTAGAGAAGCAGAGACCAGGATGCGTTTGGATTCGGCCACCAAAAACATAAATCCACATTAGAGGTCACGCGCCATGCTGCAGCGCCCCTCGGTCGGGGCATTCATTCAATAGAACATCAAAAAGTGAAAAAAAAAACAAAATTAAATATCACGCGTCTTGCAGCAGGGCTTCTCGGCTTGGCTTCTTTTATCAACGGGATCATACATTATCGGATTGATATCATAATTTAACATGATAGATCATAGGCCATCTATCATCATCTATTAGATGCCTATAATGAATGTATTCCATCCGAGAACACGCCCTCAAAGTGCCCAGAGAATAGCAATATTCAGCATTCTTAATGAATCCCCAAAAGCCCAAAGCAATTGAGGGATTGCCAATCCGCCAGAGGTCCAATCAAAACAATAGCAAATGTCCAAAAAAGTGTTGAGACCATTTATTTTTCGTGGCCAACTACTGTTGTGGGGTACAACGCCTCGGTGGGCGATACGTGTGGCAGAGAAACGATGGTGCTGGCTGGCAGTGTGCCCCAAAGCGACCAAACCGACCAAAGCTACAGACAGACGAACAACCGCCCATTATTTATGACAATAACTTTGCGACCGCACATAATTGAATTACATATTATTTGTTATGACTCTTATGAGAGGAAGGAAGGCACCCGAAGCCCCCGCATGGTCTTGAGCACGGGCTGACTGGGGTGTGGCCCACAAAGATAGATATATAGATATAGTCGCGTTAATTGTGGGGGCGTGATGTAGATGAATGGCCAAAGATTTCAATGGCTGAATGGAGTGAGTGATTGTGGCCCAAAAGCCATCGGAATCATTCGACAGTTGCCAAACATTTGACCAAAAACCAAAGCAACGGAAACCTCTCTATTTGTTAGACCCCCACTCTTCACGCTTCTCCTACTCCTTCTTATATTCCATTTGGCATCCATTGGGGTTAAACGAGTACACAGCCGCCGTCGCCACACAGATCTCCACAGCTATTGACTCAAGTGTCGTTTTAGACCACTGAAGTAGTAGTTGGAGTAGATGCTGGCTGGCATGCCATCGGCATCGGCATCGGCATCGGCATGGTCCGGTTCGATTCGATTCGGTGTGCAGTCCACACTGCTACATGGGGTGTACCCTTCCCTTTTGGCCACCAGATATTATGGAGTGCCAGCGAAGAAGAAACTAGCCGATGGGCACTGCTGCATGACATATTTTTGGACAGCTTTTGTTCCTCATCTGCATTCCAACGAATTCTAGTCTCAGTTTTCTTTAAGAAATCGTGGGCATGGATTCGAAAATATTATCTATAATCATCGATTGGGGGAATAGTCTCCAAGTCCAAGTCTTTCCATATTCCTATCGCTTATGGGAAATTTGTACAGCGCATCAATGTGTCTGATATTTGTCCTCTGAAATCCTTCAAAGGGCAGATTTCTTAGAAATCCTTAGACATCTATCTATGAGCATTATTCGAACTATATTCTGTGGATCTTTAGATCGTGATCTACTCACCCCTCAGGGTCAGGGACAGAGACATAGAGTGAGAGTGAGAGTATTTCAAAGTGTGTTTTCTTATGTGTTCCACGCTTTTGTCTTTCATTTAATTTCTCACTTGTTTGTTTCCCATTCAGCGGGGAATGCTCTTTTTGTTGTGGGCTTTTGGTGGCGGTTGCTTCTGCTGTCATCCGGCAACGTGTCAGCTGTCAAAAATTAGTCAAAGCAAAAGTCGCTGAGAGAGAGAGAGAGAGAGAAGGGAGGCAGGGCAAGACCGAGAGGCAGCCTAAGCAAATGGTCAGCGCAATTGAAGAAACATAAATCTGTTAAGCGGGCAAATATTTCAGGATTTCAGTCAAAATAATTACGAATGATGATGACCCGAATCTACAAGACAAGTGGCAACAGTTTTTTTTTTCGTTTTCGTTTTTGACCCTTGAACACTTGAACAATCAGTCCATAGATGGGAACCAACTGTGAACAATGGAAACGGCTGTGGCAATAGCACACATCAGAAATAGATAGAAAGATAGATAGATAGATAGATCTATCTGTCTGTGTGTCTGTCCGTAAAGATACGAAAGAGAGCAGCAGCATCACGCACATTGAAATCAAAGTGTGTTAACCTCGAGGTTTCAGTTTTGGTTGAACAACTTTTCCCTCGGACTCTGGTCTTGACTTAGGCCTAGGCCTAGGCCAAAAGCAAAACAATTTTCAGCCAAAAACCGGTTACCGGTCTCTGCAGTCCATCTATCCCCATGGATATGGGAATCCGTGATCAATAGAAGCGAAATGAGAGACGGATAGACGAAGACCTGCTGTCCAAGGCTTTTCCAGCAATGCAATAGCAACTTTCCACAAGAAAAGCATTGGCAGAAATTAAGGGAAGATAAGTAGAGGATGATCCAAAGGAATAAGAGCTAAAACACGAGACAGGACTTGAATTCGGGAGGGAATCACATAAGACCTGAAAGGAAAATAGCAAAAGCAGTAGAGAGCGGGATCCCTACGAAAGAGAGCTGACCGAGGGGCACTGCCGCATGACATCTAAACTGTACAGAGAGAAAGCTCTCGCCAGAACTTTCAGACATGATTCTACAGATAGAAAGAAAGACTTGGAGGCAGCGTTGCCGGGCCAAGCTTTGCCTTCGGTTCATTCAACTTTTGCGTCTGGGAAAAATTAGAGCCGACCACCGGGCCACCGGTCAATCCAATTAGCACCGACTGCAAATTCAATTAAATGCATTCTGCGATCGCCACAGATACACAGTGTACACCGCCGCCAATCAAGAGACACGACAGAGCGCTCTCTGCCGAGCTGCTTCACAAAGAGTTCGGGGTTCAAGTTCAGTTCACTGGGTTCACTGGGTGCACTGGGGGACCATGGGAAATGCGGAGAGGGGGAATGGGGGGGGGATATGCGGAGACTCACCTGCTTTGTGGGGGATTGATATTTGAAGAGGCTCCGCTTTGCTGCTGGCGTATAGGCATTCTCGTTGCGCTCCTCACCGGCGGTCTTCACATCATCGATGGCCGTGCCCAGGAGCTCGTTCTTCAAGAGACACGAATAGGCCAGACTATCGCGTGCCGTCTCCCCACAGTCCCGCTGCTTCTTGCTCGTCTGTGGTGAGTTATCATTCGACTTGTTGATCGACGCAAAGTTTGTCTGCCAATTGTTGTTGGCCCTGCAGCACACGAGAGGAAAGAACGAATTAAATTAAAATGTTAATTGGAAAAAGAATTAATTGTATTCGTATGGTGATACGGACGCGGCTCCGGCTATACAGTGGCAAAAGAACAGGGCAACACTAGACAAACATTTCTCTATTTTTAGTATAGCTATATCTTTCGTTCTGCAATGTTCTCTAATCTCCTATAGTTCGAGTGTAGACGTTGAAGCGCTGTACAAATTTCCCATGAACGAATTGTCCATTCATCCATTCGGATGACTGCAGATGATACTCGTATTGATTCGTGGTAGATCACATTCCTTACGATTTTTACGATCAGAGGCCGGCCAGGAGTTGTTAGTTATTTTAAAGACTTTAACGACTGTTTTATCTATCTATCCATTTATCTACATATATATCCATTCATCTATCTATCCCCTTATCTATCCATCCCTTTATCTATCTATCCATCTATCATATCATATAGATCATATCATGCTACGATTGAGAAACAGACTTAGCATCTAGGGTACAGAACCAAAGAAGGATCGAGGAAGAACAGTCTAAGCCTCCAGAGGTGTAGCAGGCAACATCGAGAAGGGGCGAAGATAAACTGTAGATGGCGGGATCGGGAATGGAATATTGTGTATATAAGAAAGGTTTGCTCCGTGCTACCGCATTGTCCGCCACAGCGAAACGGGCACAGGGCACAGCTAGTTCACAATATCATCTATCTATACTATCTAGACCATTTATCTATCATCTATACCAGCATCGAACCAATCCTAGCGCTTTCTAGGCTAGTCCTAAATGAGTCTCCCAACGACATATTTGTGCGATTGTAATTCCCAAAGTGCTGGTCGGTCGGTGGGTATATGGATATGGCATATCAAAGATATTGAGCTGTCTTTTCCCGTGTATGTTTATGGAAGCGTGGAAACCTTCGTTTCAATTTGCTGCGAAATCATTTCGTTCCCCTCCCCAGACAGCAGTAAATAATTTTATGCAAACGCGTTCAAATTCCACCCCACTCTGGCGGCGTATTGTTATTATTTTTTTGCCCCATAAAAACATAAAAAACGTGTGCAACGTGCAAACAAAATTATTGACGGTCAAATTGTGCAAAATTCGCACAAAAAATAGCAACAACAACAACAAATAGCGTTAATAATTTGCCATGAAATTTTGGCCAAGTGTGAGAGAATTCTAACCCATTGTCCCCCAAGTTCCAGACCCAGACCCAGACCCATACCCAGCCCCACCCCACGGATTGGATTGCATTGCACTCTTCGTGTTGAAAAACTGTTTACGAATGCAATAAGCGTCGGTCCCTCCGTTTCTGATTATCTGACAAACGCATTTCAAGTGTTCACTTCCACCTCAAATAAATCAAATTTCATGAACGGATGAGCGGATGGGCAGCAGCAACAGCAGTGCCCCACAGAGGCGGACGGAGGTGAAGGAGGTATGTGCGTCCCGGATGGCAGGGTCGAATGACAATTCAATTAAAACGGAAAAGGTTGTGCGGCGGCAACATTGTAGCGGGATATCCGAAGGCGTCCCTGAAGGAAGGCTCAATCTTTTTGGTGACCGCTTCTCGATATATTTTCAGGCAGGGCAAAGAGAGCTTTTACACAGCGAGAGATTGGTTATCGTTGATTCTGGCAACAAGAGAGAGCTTTTACATAGCGAGAGATTAGCTCTAGATCCTTTTAGCTTCGAGAGAGACTAGCTGTAATACAGCGAGAGACTAGATCTCGACACTATCTGGCAACAAGAGAGAGCTTTTACATAGCGAGAGATTAGCTCTAGATCCTTTTAGCTTCGAGAGAGACTAGCTGTAATACAGCGAGAGACTAGATCTCGACACTATCTGGCAGGAAGAGAGCTTTTACATAGCGAGAGATTGGATATCGATCCATTTAGGAGAAATAGTTATCCATCTTCTACAGAACGAGAAATTATCTCATTTACGGAGAGAGCACCACATTTCGAAAGAGCTAAACTCTGAACCCCTTAATTGTGTAAACGTGCAGGAGGATGCCGAAGAACACAGTATGACCTTCGAGACGGAACAGATGAAACACTAATTATACTTTTCAAGAAAAACAAAACTTCGACAGTCGTTTCCACAAATTAACAAATGAGTTACGACGAAAGCAGCGAACTCTCTTCTCTTCCAGCGAACCCTTTCCCTTTCCCTCTCCCTCTCCATCACTCGTCATATCTTGTTTTTCAACCAAAAAAAAGCCAAAGTTCAAATTTCCTTGTTTTTCCCATGAAGTTGAATATTTTTGTTATTGTTAGAACAATGCTCTCTGCGTTCGTTCTCGCTTCGTTACGCTTTTACTCTGCTCTCTACGCGGAACTCATTAGCAACAGAAAGAGAGACAGAGAGAGCAGGCGAGAGAGCTGCTGTTGTTGTTTCCTTATGGGCGGACAGAGAGTAACCGTTATAGCCCCAACGAGGCGCAGCGAGTCGGGAAATTCACAGGGCCAGCATAGACGGTGGTGCCCCTCACCCACATTCTCTTCCTCCAGCAAAATTTAAATACTCTTTGATGGGGAGGCTGCAACAAGGAGAGGATAAAGATCTTGTTCTCATTATTTTTGCAGATTTCTCCTCAAAAGGAGACTGCCATTCATCGATCGCTAATCAACCACTTTTTTTGTGGGTCGAAACTTCGTTTTGTTCAGCTTGGATCTGGTGAGGGTATCAAACGCTTCGGCGACTGGAAATTTGCTTTATTCTCTCACGTTTTTCTGCATAAAATTTCAAAGCGGAAAAGATGACGTAGCATTACGAATAACGGGCTCAAAGACTGCAAGAGTTCATTGACATTCATTCGACAGAGTTCTCTCTCCGTCTATCTCTCTCGCTCAGTCTACAAATCACTCACTGCACTCACCTGCATGGTATGAAACGATCCAGCGATGTCGGTGTGGTCGACGATTCCAAATTATCAAATAGATTACGTGCCACCGGACTGCAGTGCTTCAGGATGCGCTTCTCATATTCCGGACTAAACATCTTTACGCCTCAGATCTGTAGGCCTCCTCGTGTCGTCTTATGGTTGGGGGGTTTTGCGGTGTGCAAACAAAAAAAAACTTAACGCAAAAAATGTAGCCAGTAAAAATTCTCTAAATTTGTGGATCGGTAAAAAATAAATCGCTTGTTTGATGTGAGGATGATTTCCTTTAGTTTGAGATCCAAGAATTTATCGTACAAAATATATATGTATATTTATATATCGATGGAAGCTGCGAAAGATAGAGGAAAGAAGACGTAGGGGAAGATATAGATAATTAATTTGGATAGTTCTATTGTGGCATTCGAATTTGAATAAAATTGTAATTTATTTTTGTTGGTGTTTGGCTCGACGACAGTTTGGGCCTGTTGTTGGGCCATTAATCAACGTCTGGATTGTCTGGATTCCAGTCGCGATTCTTTTGCCCATGGATAATCCAGGCAAGCAAACCGATTGCCTTTCTATTTTCTTGTTTTTTCACTCACTCACTCACTCACTCACTCACTCACATCACATGGGGGCGTATCAATCACGGACACAGCCCGAACCCAGAACCCCAAAAGAATCTATGAACAGAACAGCACAGAGAACAGAACAGAAAACAGTGGAGTTCTTTTGTTGGCTGTCATGTATTTTTGGATGGATCTTCTCTGTAGTGCGTTATGCATACGAAAGAGAGGTTTTCGACCCTTTTCGGACCGCTAATTAGATCCGCCCCATCATATCACGAAGACAATCCCCCACCCCGTTTTGTGGCAGTGGTCAATGGCACGCGGCCACTGTGGGCTGCATCTACGGTGTGTCGGGTGGACTGTGGATTGTGGACTGGCGTGTCTAGACCTAATTAATTTATGGGCGTTAAGTGTTGCTTGTTTGCGGCATAGGATCCACCGACGGGTGGAGTTTCTGTTCGGGTGAAACTTACTCAGGTTAGACACTTCCGCATTGGGTCTGTCGTTCTCCTTCCTTCTTTCTTTCTAATTTTCTAAGTTGTATTTTTCCTGCTTTCTTTGCTTTTCCTCTGGTTTATGTTCATAGAAAATATATGTACGTGTGTATATAATAAAAATACTATTTGAACGTATGACGTGACTGTTTCGGTTGAGCAACGATCTAAAACTGATTTGAACATCTAGACACAGTCGACTTGAAAGCAGGGTCTAAGGCAGCTATGACTAAGCCGGGGCTTCAATTACAAATAATTCAGTTTTTTTTCGGTTTGAGTTTGGGTTTGAGTTTTCCGTCAAAAAGGGGCAGATAAGGTTATTGATTTGCAGGTACCGCCTATACCACAACCACAACAAGAACCACCAGACACACGGGGCACGGAACCCAAAAAGACGCGACTGATAATGCCGGTGGTAAACATTTGTGACTCAAGCCGCGAAGAGTAGGGAATATTTGTATTTTGAAGCATGCACGAACATGTCGCACACACGGCAGCCCACTGATAAGAAAGTGGGTGCCGCTTTGCTGGAAAAGCGAGCTCAAGCCGGAAAGGCAAGGGGAAGCGTGTGAAAGTTCAAGATTAGAGGCATGTGGAAACCGTTAACCCACTCTTTCGATCAAAGCTGATCGAGTGTCACACGTCATCGAAACAAAATTCACCCACCCGCATCGACTGCCCTTGTCCCGTGGGTTAATCCGCCGCCACGTTGCCACTCCTCTCTCTGGCACGCACTCGGCCTGCACTCTCGTCTATCGCTCTCTTTGAGGCTCTGCTCATTTAGGGTTCAATGCACACACACACACACACATACACATAAATATCCTCTCTCTGGAACTAGACAAATGTTTTCTTTCTCTATCGATCAAGGACAATGAACCTTGGGTCTCTCTTGTAGCCATAATCAGACGATCCGAAAGCAACGGCACTCTGCTCATGCTTGTACTATTTTTAGTCGATGACTTGGAAAAGATTCATCAATAATCGAGTGCTGCTGTGGCGGCTGCTGCTGTTGTTTATGCCACATACATACATACACACATACATGTATGTACATATGCAGAAGGTCAACACACAAGTCGCCAAGAGTGAGGGGGGAGAGAGAGATAATTTTCCAAAATGGAGCTCTGTGGGAGCCAGAAGCCGACTATAAATATCGTACAAAAGACGGTGGGAATGCGGTATACCTCCATCCGTTATGCGGTTGGTTCTTGTTTTTGTTCTTGCTCCACCTTATCAGCAGCAGAGGCATGGCCATGTGCAAAGTGTGATAAGAAAGAGGGCCACAGACAACAGCAGTGCAGTGCAGTGCATGGCAGGGCCGTCATCCCTAACCCAAAGGGAGAGAAAGAGCAGAAAGCACTAAAGCAGTACAACAGGAGCATGTGGCACAGAGAGAACAAGGATTGCTAGACTGCCTTACCACCTAGTAGTATATGGCACTGCAGGAGCCAGAGAGTCCAGATCGTGAGAGAAAGAGGGTGTGTGATGTGATGTATGTGTGTGTGTTGGTGAGAAACAAATAATCGATGGCTTTGCGCCCCCAAAAATGCATGACCAATAGCAAATTATGTCAAGGACATCACATACATACACACACACACAGAGGGAGGGAAGAACACACACTAACTGGGATACACACACAAGGCCCAAATGCAAATGCTTTGGCTAAATGTTTAATTTAATAATTTGCAGCAATTGCTAGGAATACTACTATTTTTTGTTGCTTTTCCTATTGTGCATGTACAAACGCACTCGCACTCACACTCACGCAAGAGAGCGTGGAGGCTACAGACAAACAGATAGATAGAGAGAGAGAGAGAGAGCGAGAGAGAGCGTGGTAACGGCGGCGGCGACAACTGCGACCCGCGACACATGCCTGCCCGCTCGCACACAATGTAGTGGTACAGCTAGGGTAATAGTGCAGGCCATAAAGAGAGGAAAACACAGTTACCCATGTGTCAGACCTAACTGTGAACTGTTTTCGAGTCTCTCTCACACACCAAATGCACTAATCTTCACTTATTTTGGGGCAACTGTTCTTTTGTTGTATCACACACCACAGAAACACACACTATTTTCCAAGAACTTTTCGCGGCAACACACACTAAAAACGGTTAAGTTTGATTTCCATAGGCCGCCCGAGCCAGCTTACTTACTGCTGCACTCAGAACCGAAGGAACGAAGATTTTTTTGCGTTTGTATGGTTTGCCCGGCTATTCTATTCACAATCGCAACAAACCCCCTATTTTGATACAGCGACGACAAGGCACTTCACGACTTACAGATTATTTTGTTAATGCTAGGTGTCTCAGCATCGGCGGCTAGGTGGTGCGCGTCGTTTGCCGCTGGTTACAAAATTATTTCTTTTTTCACGCAAACAAAAACAAGTAGTAGAGGTGTCAAACCATCGATGGCACTCTCGATAGTATCGATGCTTTGCTAGTATCGATCGTTTTGCCTCTATTCATGATACTATCGAGCTCTTATAGGTCGATTCCCCATCTCAACTTTGATTTCGAAAAGTGCGGTGGTGTCAACGGAAAAACTTGAAGATCCCTTTATTTATTCATTAAAAAATATAGCCAGCTCATTACAAACGGTTCTGGTTAAGTGGGTGTTGTTGTAGCTGAAAATGCTAGTGCCATGGTTAAGGCATGTGACATTCTTCAAAAACGACACTCACACCTATGGCCACTGCTTAAATTTAGAGGGGCACGACTGTTTGAGCCAAGAAAATTTGAAGTTCCGGCTGACAAAAGTATGGTATTCCATTCCAGCATGGTAATCTTTTTTAAAAGTGTGCGATATATGAGCCCGATTTGATCGATAGTATCGATGTTTTTAATCATTTATTCAAAACTATCGAGTGACGCCACTATCGTTAGTTTGACAGCTCATACTGTCGAATTCAAGTTCTATTTGACATATTCTTCGATTTTGATCTTCCGTGGAATATTATTAGCTATATAGAACATTTAGCAAAGCCCACATAATTTTATCCGATTAATGAATCGATTTTTTACTTGACTGGCTTAGCTAATACTTGCTTTTATGGGGTTTTGTCTAAAAAAGGTCAACAACAATTTCCACTAAATTCTTCTCTTTACTTGGTAACTACATGTCAATGTAACGACCGGAAGCGACACCTGGAGAGAGATTGTGTACGTTTCAAAAATGTATTCCCGTTTTTTTCCCATAAGTCCCATCGAAGCGCCAGTGTGAAAAACCTTATCCACTTTCTTACATACCTTTTTTTCCGAAATTTTAGAAATATTTTGATTTTGATGGCAAACGATAAGGAATACGATGCTGATGACGAATTATAATTCGGTGTGGCCTGGGACATGGATCTAAATGACATTTCGATACGATTCCAAATATTTTTTTTTATCTGACCTTTTTCGCAATATTACTTTTTTAGAAAGGATCCAATAAAAGCAAGTGTTTAAAATAACCCAGTCGAGGAGAAATTCGATTCATTAATCAGATAAAACTATGTGGGCATTGCTGAGAGATTTAGTTAGTCAGCATTATTCAATGGAATATCGAAATTGAGCAAATTCGTTTTTCGTTTGTTTTGATTGACCTATTTCGCTACTTGTTTTTTGTTTGACTTATTTCGCTAAAACCTTCTTTGCGCGAAATGGAATAAAAGGAAGTAGTTAAAATAAGCCAGTTAAGTAGAAAATTGATTCATCAATCGTATAAAACTATGTGGGCATGGCTAAATGTGCTATATAGCTGAGAATATTCAACGGAATATCAAAAACGAGGAATATGTAAAATATAACTTGAATTCGTCGGTATATTTGCGGTATTTTTTAAAAAGAGACGGTATATTTCGGAGGGTCGGACCGTATATCGAAAAGTCAGGTCACACTGGGCGTTCTGCAACGCGCTAGTGCTGAAAAAAAATCATATGACTTGTCGATCGATTAAAGAGAAAAATAGGTTGAATTTTCATCACAGCTCCGTTGCTTTCTTACACATTTCGCGCAATTCAATCGAGCCAGATTCGCAGCACGCCGCCCGAGTCCAGACTTTCATTCAACTGCCCTATTACTGTTCCGTGTGTCGTGTGCTTTTTTGCTTTGTGTGTTGATTTGTAAGTGACAAAGATGGACAGCTCAGGATTCATGTTCAACATTGACAATGGCTATCTGGAGGGCCTGTGCCGTGGCTTCAAGTGTGGCATCCTGAAGCAGGCGGACTACTTGAATCTGGTGCAGTGCGAGACCTTGGAAGGTGAGTGAGTGGGCTGGTCGCCTCCATCCATACCCATACGCCCGCTTTGTCATGTGACCGTGCGCCCGTGGCTGATATCAGCAGCAGCACTGTATGTATACATATGTATATGCATGAGCATGAATGTGTGTTTGTGTGTGCTGTTACGCTGTGTGTGTAAGCTTGTCTTGTGATGTTTTAACAATTTTACACATTTTCGACGAACTTAAATTGCAATTGCTGCTCGTTCGATTTTAGATCTGAAACTCCATCTGCAAGGCACCGACTACGGCAGCTTCCTGGCCAACGAGCCCTCACCGCTGTCGGTGTCCGTGATCGATGACAAGCTGCGGGAGAAGCTGGTCATTGAGTTCCAGCATATGCGCAACCATGCTGTGGAGCCGCTATCCAACTTCCTGGACTTCATCACCTATGGCTATATGATCGACAACATCATCCTGCTCATTACGGGTACGCTGCACCAGCGTCCCATTTCGGAGCTGATACCCAAGTGCCATCCGCTGGGCAGCTTCGAGCAGATGGAGGCTATCCATGTGGCGTCGACGCCCGCTGAGCTGTACAACGCCGTGCTGGTGGACACGCCGCTGGCCCCGTTCTTTGTCGACTGCATTTCCGAGCAGGATCTCGACGAGATGAACATCGAGATCATCCGCAACACGCTGTACAAAGCCTACCTGGAGGCCTTCTACAACTTCTGCAAGAACATGGGCGGTGCCACAGCCGATGTTATGTGCGAGATCTTGGCGGTAAGTGGGAAGCCAGTTTGCTCCTTTGGTGTCACCTCCATTGCTGGGTTATGTTCGTATGCTTTCAGTTTGAGGCCGATCGCCGTGCCATCATCATCACGATCAACTCATTCGGCACTGAGCTGTCTAAAGACGATCGCGCCAAGCTGTATCCCAACTGCGGCAAGATGTACCCCGATGGACTGGCCGCTCTGGCCCGTGCCGACGACTACGAGCAAGTGAAGACCGTGGCCGAGTACTATGCGGAATACGCCGCTCTCTTCGACGGCTCCGGCAACAATCCCGGCGACAAGACACTCGAAGACAAGTTCTTCGAGCACGAGGTCAAGCTGAACGTGTACGCTTTCTTGCAACAGTTCCACTTCGGTGTCTTCTACGCGTACCTTAAGCTCAAAGAGCAGGAGTGCCGCAACATTGTCTGGATTGCCGAGTGCGTGGCCCAGAAGCATCGCGCCAAAATCGACAACTACATACCAATCTTCTAAGCCAATCAGCCGCTCCGCCGGCATTCAAATAATTATTACTCGTTTTTTTTTTCCTCCTGCCCTTCCAAGATATATTTTTTTGGTTCTCCACCAATTCCTTGTTATCAATTGTTTAATGTATATTATATTGTGTCTTTGTGCATATATGTAGATGTGTGTAGTTTTGTTACGAGTATTACTGTCGCTCCCCCGATAAGTTCTTTTCAAGTTTTTAGTTAAATTCAGCACTTTCTGCTTCCACAAGTATTCCCTCGATCGCTCCAAAGCTGCAGATATCTGTATATCTATATCTCAGTATCTGTATGTATTCAGGAGACATCTGGAGTGTTACCTTCTAGTGTACCTTTCAGGGTTCGTATTTGTGTACATATTTATAATTATCGAATGAACGCAAAATCAATAGCAAGCATTGGGTGAGGAGAGCATCAGCACCATACATACATATGTTATCTACTATATAGAAATGCTTACATATACAAGAAAAAACCTACATATGTGAATGATAAATCAATTATTAAAACATGTTTTCAAACATTCCCTCAAACGGTTCTGTCTATTCCTTGTCCCAACCAGCCATCCCATCGCCCAGAAAAAGAATCAATCTGATATACATATAAATATGATATAATATGAAATATACCATTTTCACTTGTGTTTTAATCGGTAAATGTCTGATTGGCACAGCTTTGGAACATCAGATTTTCTTTGACATAATTCTTAAACGATTTCAACAATTTAGAAGTGGACTTTTTGGCCGACAGAGCCGTGCCCTTTTCAGATTTTGTAGCATTCTGCAGCAATTCTTCCTCCGGCATTTGGGAGGTCAGATTTATGGCACTCGGATTGGAATTCATCAAAGATACCTGATCCTTGGATGCCAAGCCCGGTCGGGGACCAACAGTTTCCAGTGTTTCCAGTGTTTCCAGTGTTTCCAGTGTTTCCAGTGTTCCGTCATCGTTGACCAGCTTGCGCTGGTAAGTTCCGTGGGAAGTACAATGCCAAGTGAATCTAGGTTTCTGATTCTTAGGAGACATATTATTTGAATTTTCAACGACTATGTTGACCAGCTTCTTGCCGGACTCAGACCGTTTATCTGGGGCCGGCCAGATAACGCGAGTCTTGCTCTCGAACACCTTTAGCTCATCGCAACGCCTGCGGCACGTCACCGACTCAAAATCGTCCATCTCTTTTGTCAGAAAACATTCATAGCGGAATTTTCATCAGTTTAATAGTAAGAGGATCTCATTTGATTGCTTACTTACCAGAGATTACTTCTTTATTCATGGCAAATATTTGAAATATTTTTAATAAACTATAAAATATATGTTGCTGTTGTTTCAGACCGACTGGTCAAGGTAATATGAATCTGTGACTGTGTTCGACTTGAAATACTACATAGCTCAGAAAGAACGGCCTACTAGGATTTTTGTGAAGATTTAATTTCTACTTGTAGCCTATGTGGGCTATCGAAAACAATGAAATATCTGTATCATTGAGAAATTGATGAACTCTGCAGGGGTATTATTTTATGTCATGTTTAAAAGTATGTAGCAATGCAATTTGTTCGCATACATACATATATATCAAATATTCAGTGATGATTTTTCAAGGTATATGTACATATGTTAAAACCTGTCCTGTTTTTGTTGGCGTTAGCCGCGTTTGGGAAAATTTTCTGGCATTTTTTCTATATAGTTCAATATGTTAGAGAGTTTTAGAGGAATTTTAAGAGAAATTCTAAGAGAAAACAAAACTATAAAAATAAAAAAAAAAATTCGAAAGAATGAACTTTTGCTTGTTCTAATGGGTTTTCAGATCAAACTCAATGAAATTATATGCGTATCGGTTAAATTAGTTACCTTTCAATAATTTAAAAAAACAATTTGGTGACAAAAGTATTTGGCAATCTTTTTTTAATGACTTTTTTTGACATGGTGGACAAGTGGAAAATTTGAATAAATGGGATTGTTTTCCAATCCCACACCATTTATTTATTCAAGTTACTGCCATGTTTATTAAATACAAGCAGAATACCGAATGATGATCAGTCTCTGTACTAAATCCATTTGAGAAGAAAGAAGATGCTACTCCCAATCTTGCAGATAGCATCAGTCTCAGTTCAATTGGGGAGTTCGATCACGTCTAGCTGTGTTTCGCTGGAGAATCCCAATCACCTCGAAGATCTTCTTTGTCTCGGCGACAGAGTTCCTTGGCCACTTCAAGGTTCACTCGTTCAGAGGGTGCGGTCCTTAGTTTGTCTCCTCTGTGCTGTGTGCGTCATCGTCGGGGGATCTCTAGGCCCAGACAAAGAGATCCCAGACGTAATTCATCACCAGGTGGTGCTTGAGGATGAGGAAGAGGAAGAGAGTTGCAGCACTGGCCAAGTGGCACAAATTACCAGTGGACAAGAGTTCGAAGCGGGGGTTAATTACGAGTGATCGTATGTATGTTGTGAGCCAGACGAACATGTTCGTTGTGCGAGCAGCCGGTGTACGTGCCCACATATCGCTTACGGTACCGTTAGGCCCTGGTCTGGCAGAGAACAGGTGCCAAAGCCAACACGTTCGATGGGAAAAGAAAGCCCCTCTTTGGGCTCGATCAGCTGTGGGTCCCACTGGAGCTCGGCTCGGCCGCTGAAATCGCCAATAACTCGGCTCGATGCCTTCGACTCGTCGCAGTTGTGTTTCGCGTCTTCGAACGTTCAGTTCAGTCTTTAAAAGCTCCGAGCTTCCCACAAGCCAGAAAAGCTCCTAGCCCAGCATACAGCACGCGCCAAGTTACAAGAAAAATAAATAAATATTTCTGCTCTGCTGCCGCTCTGCGATTTGCCGTTAAAACGGAGTGTTAGTTGAAACGATTTTTTTTGTTCAAGTGCTTTATTGATTATTGATTGATTGTTCTGTGGCCGCTGAAGTTGAGTGCCCAATCCGCATCCCCAGCGAGTGGAGTGTCCCGCCAGGAGAGCACACTTGTAGGTATGACCAAAGAATCGTATGCAAGCACTGTACACATTGGGCCATCTGTTTCACCTGGGTTCGGATCGGTTCGGATCGGTTGTTTTTGTAGTTTTTGTTTGTCTGACAAATGAGAAATGCGGTCGCAGACAGCAGTTGTAGAACGCACGCTCGGCGGCACTTAACTTGGCCAAAGATGATGACTGAAGTCGCAGTTGAAGACCAGGAAAAGCACAGCCAATGCCTGACCATGCCAAGGCAATTGCACGTAAAAGTCGCCGTGAAATTGTGTCAACCAGTTTGGCTCTGGCTCTGGCTCTGACTCTGGCTCTGGCTGAGGTGTCTTTTCCCCCAACCTAACCATCTACGTCGTTTGTTATCCGCTTCTGTTTGTGCTTCTGGTCGTTCTTCTTCAGGCCCGCCATTAACTTATTTGAATTTGGCAAAACAAAAGAAACCAGACGAGACCGAAGCGTTTACATTCTTCGTTTTACTTTCTACCATCATCGCATCGCATTCTTCTCTGCTCTGCTCTGCTCTCCACACCTTTGGTGCCACTGGAAAGTGGAGCTGTCCGCGACTTTTCCGAGTAGATCTAGCCCTACACAATTGTAGTAAACGATCAAGCATCCTCTGGTAACCCAGTGATCGCTTTTTTTGTATCCAAAAGAATCCACGATGGCTTTTAAATGGGACTAATACCACTGCCACTCGCTTGAGAAGGTTAATTTTCTGGTCCATCGGGTCAGCCTTGACCGGAAATGCGGCCCACACTCGCACACACACACTCGCACTCACACTGGCCGTTGTGTGGTGACCGTTACCCGCGCTCCCCACTGACCTATTCGTGATCGAGGCCCACGCAGATGGCAAACAAAAAATTTCTCCGTTGGCTGCATTAAAGAACTTAACCTTAATTTTGGCATGGGTCTCGACATGGTCATCATTATTATGGTAACTTTGATTTCTTCCTCCTTACTTGTTGCCTACTGCTGGCTTGCTTGTGCTCTGTGGAAGCGGCCCAGCGATTTCACCCACACGTAGACATCACAAATCAATGTCGGAGGCGTCTGAAGAAAGTGGTAAGCACATAACATGCACAGAGCCAGATACACAGAGAAGACAAATCAAGCAGAAAACTAGCCTCACAGCAGCCGAAATGAAAAAGAGAAAAACAGAAAACCGAAAACCGAAAACCGAAAACTGAAGAAATTATGCAAATGCCAGTGCCGATGCCAGTGTTACGGGTATGCCACTGTGAATGTGGTGTCTATTGGGTTATATAAACCATGAAAGGATGTAAAAGTCTGACGAACTGCTTAGCATAATCGCAGCTCGAGCGCGTTTGGTAATCACGCCTTGGTCCACGCCTTGCGGATTGCCAGATGATGGAGCCTATGATGGGGAAAAGAAATTTTGTTGGAATTTTTGCAGCAGAGCCCCACACCAAGCGGTTGCGGGGAAGAGGAGGTCAACACTTTCGCTTCCGAAGCCGAATAATTAACAGTTCGATTTCGATTTCGATTTCAATGGGCCGTCATCATCCCCACTCTTAGCTGGATCGTATCATTCGCTCGGAATTGTGTTATGATAATTTCTGATAAACTCAGCAACAAAAACAGAAACAGAAATACAGAAAATATATCCAACAATGTCCAACTCACTTTCTATTTTCCTATGCGTTTAATAATTAATTAATGCTAATAACTTTTCACAACCGTTATAATTTATTGACAAAATTAGAAAATATGCGTCTGTCTTGCAAGCCAAAAAAAAAAAAAAAAACTCGATCCGCGAGATAGAGACGCATAGCGGGGGTACGAGTGAGAGCGAAAGAGCCAACTAGTTGGACACACGTGGAGCCATGCATATGTATATTCTCTCTTCTCTTTCCATTGTGCTTGTTTTTTTTTTTTTTTACCATTTTCGGTTTTTGTTCCAAATGTGGAATGCAAATGGAACGCCCGGTTACGTATTGGAATTTCTGCCTCACCTGTGGCACAGACCCAGGTGAAATTATTACGATGTGGGTGTGAGTGTTGCATCTTTCAATCTGCGTCAACAAGCAATTGATTTAACGGGAAATTAAATCACAAGTGGGGAAGAGTTTATTTGGATTATGTTGTAAAATAAACGGTCTGTGCAACCATCTGGCCAACCCAATATATTAAGTTTCCAAACAGTCAGACACATGTGACCGAACGATATACGAAATATAAACTTTCATAAATAGAAAAACTTCTGTGGAAGACATGGGCACAGTATATCCAATCAGAGGCAATCCTAACCGATTGGGAAGCACGGGCTACACGGTTACACTTATGGGACCCTTGCAGACCGCCATGTTAGGCCATGTTAGGCCATGTTAGGTCACACACACTTTCTATCCCTCCAGTTATCTCAGTATTCCCAAAACATGCGGAAGGTCATCAATGGAACGATGACCGACGCCTGGACTGAACGGAAGATAAGCACATGAGGCAGAAGCGGAGAAAGACAAAAATGAAAGTGGAACAAAGTGAAAGAGCTGGAAATTATGTAAGGCAAAGATATGTATGTGGGAATACATGAAGACAACACTTGAGGTTATCGGAATAGAATTAACGTGGTATGTGAATGATAGTTTTTGAAAAGTTTCGATACCAGTGGGGGATACCAGATTCAATCTATTCAACCGTTACACGCACAATCATGCATATTCACATTTAAATGGTTCGGGGCACCAGCACCAGCATCAGCTTCTTGGGCCTTCTGCATTTCTCTGGCCGAGCTCCAGTTAAAAGCCGCTAATTGATTCGGACAGCTCCTCTCCCCCCCACCCTCCCCGCTACGAAGCACTTGAGGGGTAAATGAGTCAATAGCAGAAATTTCACTTTGCCAGCGGTGACTCCCGGCCCAGGCCCCTCTCCACAAAAGAGAAAAAAAGCACAAGGCGAGCTTGAGCTTGGGTTTGAGTTTGTTTTTGTTTTTGTTTTTGGTTGGAGTTGCAACTTGGCTTCGAACTTGTTCGCCCAAAAGCAGAGGTCTGTGGTGGTGGGCGGGAGTGGGGATTGGCCCCGTAGTATTCTAATGAGGCCTAACCCCAATCGTCAATTAAATAACTATTGGGGCCTGTTCAACAAGATTTCACTCTCGTTTTTTGTTGTTGGTTTTGGAGCTATTTTTTTTTGGACACCATTGATTTCCATTGACGGAGCGAACCGCTAGAAGGCGCTCTTACTCGTAATTTGTTTACACTGCCTTTGTCCAAGTTTTGGAAACCGTAGCGTCGCATCGCGGAGGCGGAGGCGGACGGAGGGGATGCCTGAAAGAAGAAGATGCTGGGGAAACTGAAAAAGTGAAAGAAATTATGTCAATATTTATTTAAATACATTTCTTTTGCAAAAATACCTGGCGAGAAAGAGACAGCGGAGGAATGCGGAGAAATTTTATCGATCGATTTCGATGATTTTGCAGATCGTTATTAAAACTGGCAATCCCAATCGCTTATCATGTAATGTTTTACTTTGCAGTTTGACAATGGGAAGCTCCAGGAATATCATGCTGCTCCTGCTGGTGGCCAGCGCTGCCTTTGTCTCGTTGGCAGACGCCAAGACCGTCTTCAGGCGCACCGACAAGATCTCCGAGAACTTCAAGCAGCTGGACCTGCCGCCCGAGGAGATCGACCCAAACGTGGCGCCCCCAGAATCGGATCCACCCAAGGTGGATGACGTCGAAGACATGGCCGATGAAGTCGCCTCCGCCTCTACCTCGCTGATCGATGAGAGCGCCAACGAGATTTCCAGCGGCGATGTGGGAGCTTTGCCAGCTGAAGCTGCCAATGCGGTTGCGGATGTGATTCCCGCCGCCGCTGCCGCTCCTGCCCCTGCACCCGCTGCAGCTGCTGCTGCCGCCGCTGTGCCCGCCGCTGTGCCCGCCGCTGTGACCACAGTGGCACCCAAGGTGACCACGGTCAAGCCGGTCACGGAGGACAAGAACCCGATCAACAGGTACTGCAAGTGCACGGAGACCCACTGTGACTGCTGCCGCAAGATTGGCCTGCCCCTGCTGCCCAGCGGACAGGGCTGCGCCAAGATCGCCTACCTGGGCAACGACGAGATGAGCGTCTCGCTGAAGTACGGCGACATCACGCTCGCCTCGCGTCGCATCTCCAGCAAGAAGGCCCGCCCCATCTGCGTGGGCCTGCCCGGCGGCTACAACCAGTTCTGCGGCCGCGTCTACGGTCTTGGCCGCGCCAAGGACAACTTCAAGGCCTGCTTGGCATTTGAGCTGCGCGCGGACGATGAGGTGGAGGCCCAGCTACGCGTCTCCTGCTTCAAGTTCGGCAAGGACGGCCTCCGGGTGGCCGAGGCTGAGCCCCTGCCTGCCAAGCCCAGCGGCGACGATGACGACGATGATGATGACGACATCTTCGGCTTTGCCGGTAAGCCTTCCCCACCCCCAACGCCCGTGGCATGACTAATGGTAACCCTCTTACTGTACTCCCTTTCAGCTGGTGGCGACGACGACGAGGATGAGGAGGATGACTACGACGCCGACGCCGACACCGACACCGACACCGAGACGGATACAGACGATGACGACGATACCGATGACTACACCGAGGACGATGACGCTGAGGCGCCCGAGGAAGCCGACTACGGTGGCTTCAGCCTGGCCGGTCTACTCGACGAACTGGACGACGACGACGATGAGAAGCCCGTAAAGAAGCCAGCGGCTGCAGCTGCTGCCATCACACCGGCCGGGGATCAGACCCGTGAGGAGGCTCAGACAACCACCGACCTGGTCCAGAGCAAAGACGACGCGGGCGCTACCGCTGCTGTCCCATCTCCGGCTGCAGTGGCAGAGGATGCTGTGGAGGAAGCCGTCGGCGCAGTGACGCCGGCGCCAGCCGAGACTTCCGCCGACTCGACAACGCCCAAGGCAAAGAAGTCGAAGAAAGCGAAAAAGAACAAGAAGAAGAAGGCTGTGTCCGCCGGAGCCGGCGAGGAGTCCGGCTTCGCCTACGAGCTGCTCAACGGCATCCTCGACTTCTTCAATTGAGCGGCCGTCGTGAGGACCGTGTAAATACCTTGTACCCCCGGATCCGGATATGCAGATGGAACTGGGACTGGTACTAGAGCAGGAGCCAGAGTCGGAGTCCGGCTTCCTGGTGCTAGGGTTACGTAATACTATCTGTTAAGGGTCTCGTCAAATAATGCGCTTGCTTCACGAAATTTATTTATTATCTATTTATTCGATTGAGATTTTCGGGTGCGCGATTCAAGCAAGTGGTTTTTTTTCCGTAAATTTACGTTTAATTTATTTACATTTTTAAAGAATAAATATTGAAAATCACTTCCGATTTGAATTCCAGATGGTCTAGCCCTTTGCCTGTGTCAATGGCCTTAACTTGTTCTTTCGTCGATCCTTTGATCCTTTGCCACTAGAACTGCTCCCCTGTCTCTACATGCATTTTTAATGCATTTTTTGATATTTAGTAGGTATGCGAATAGGTCGTAAAGTATTTTTGACTTTCCTATCAACAATTTCAAAATAGCCCGTACGAAAGGTAAGCATAATCAAGTATGCTTTAATGTACTTACGGGGGGGTGTAACATATTCTGTGACCGTGAAAGGTTTGCATACCGATTATCATCACGACTCTGTTACAGTGAGCAATGCCATTAGGTCGTCGAACGAATAAGGCTAAATTTTAGAGACGAAAGAACAGACGAATGAATCGACTAAGATATCGAAAATGTGCGTGTGAGCACGTCGCGTAAATCCCAACGACAAGAGGCGCGAGATGAACGAGAAAAACGAAATCAACAAGGAAAACTGGTACGGAGACAAACGCAGACATCCGCTTCGTTTTTTCCGCTCGAATTCGAGTAGAGCCAAATATTGAATATTCCTATGATATTATTATAATATTTTCCGTGTCAGCTAGTTTATATATACTGATATTTTCCTGGCTCTGACTTTGTTTCTGTAGTTCTTTCTTCCTAGCCATGTTAGCCATGGCCCAAGTATATCTGGAATTCATTTAAGGAACCCATTTCGCCTATATGCGTATTAGCTGCTTAGCACTTTTGGCGGAGCGAGAGCTCGTTGACGGTTTGTTAGCTATTTATGTTTATGACAGATGTCCAATTCTGATGTATGGCAACCACAAGTAATTAGAATGTAATCGTCAAATCAAATGATGGGGATTTGATGTTGTCTCCCTGTCAGTAAAATTTAATTAAATTTACATTACAATTCCATTTAAACACAATAAACTGGGCATAAATTACACTGCGTGCAGTAGTAGCCTGTATTAAATATTCAATTAGTTCAATTAGTAAATATATGTCTGCTCAATAGGCCTAGTCACAGGAGAAACAGTACAATTAATGCACTTCTAAAGGTATATACATATGTAAGCTGGCCAGGTTACATCTCCAAGGCCAAGACTCGAAGCAAGCGACGGGAGGAAGTATCTGCGTGCACCCTTCATTCTCAAACTACCACTTGGTGGTTCCATTTATGTACATATGTAAATGGAGACAGCGGCCTAAAATACTTCTCAAACTGCAAGGATGGACTGTCCGCCGGACTAAGAACCATTTGTAAAGTTTTAAATGAATTTTAAACCATGCGTTACGTAACGTGGAATCGGCGGAGGATATCTCCCCCTCTTCATTATGTGGAAGACCTGCAATATGGAGTCAATTTAAATGACTCTCCCTCTTCCGCCCAATGAGAGAACACAGTTGGTTTAAGCAACTAAGCCTAAATTTTTGTATTTTTACTGCAACTTGATTAAATATGTATACTTGTGATTAATATATTGTCATCCAAACTGCTTGGATATAGACATGTCGATATACATTAATTTGAATTCCCATATACAATATATTGATTTGGCAATCGATACCTGCTGTGCTTCTGTGCTGTCTTGCGAGAGTAATTTTGCACTTTGCACGGAACAAAAATTTGAGTAGAATACATCCCCATACTTAGAATTTGCAATGCACTCTCAAAAATCTTTTTCATTACTTAAGAACCCAGCAAACCAACAAACGTGCCTTTTGCGAGAGTTTCGCAAAATGCTCGCAAACGAGCTCGCAAGCGGGAGTTTTACAATAGGAAAGTGCGCTGCGACTGCGCTGCCGGTCGCTGCCTTCGGTCCGGCTATGCGCCTTCGGCTCTGTGTTCACGTGTCGACAGATGACGTGCCGAATGCGAGCGTTTTGTCGGGTTAATTCTCGCATTTGACTCGTATGCGATATCATTTGTGAGCGTTTGGTTTGCTGGGAATGTATAAAGTTAAATAGGCTGGAAAGATAAACGTATAACCTTATTTATGATGTTTGATTTGTTTACAACAAGGCCAATACCTGAAGAGATAATTGTGTATCTAAGTTGAAGTTTCTAAAATTTTTGACATTTTTGTCTTATTCAAAAAATAAATTTTGTTAGAGGCTTTAATTCTCAACAACACAAGGTCTCTAAGTATATAGATGTGATCTACTCAACCAGACCTGTGGTTCTTGCCTTAAAACCAATTGGAAGTTTTCTTTTGAACGCAAAATTACCTTCCGTTGGTTTTTTTTTTCATTTAATATAATTTCTTATAATTTTTAGGAACACACACAAATGTTCTTGTTTTGTACATAGTTTTGGTATTTTTTCGTCTTTGGTATTGAAATCCTGTGATTTCGTAATACACACGTACGATATGACGTACGTCCAAAAACGTTTGTTACCTTCTGCAAAATCATATTCCATTCCATTTCATTTGACTTTGAACGGAATGAAAAATGTACGTATTCACAATCTAAAGGATCTGTAATAAAATACAGTTTGGAATACAGCTGTGGAATCGAAATCACCGAGCTGCCCGTCAAAAACCATTCTATTAAAATGCTATTCAGTTCTAATCAAAAATTTGTGTATAGTTTTGTTCAGCATACATTTTTTACAAATATTGTATAGTTTTTCACAAAAAGCACAAATTGTAACAAACATTGTACAGTAATAGTATATAGTATATAGTATATAGTAATACATCGAGAATTCGAGTATATTGATATATAAGTACACATATATATAAGGTCTAAATAGATCAAATGTAGGTAAATACAAACGTACACATCTCTCTCCCTTGTTTCCCAAAAGGGGCACAACATAATGAGGGATATGTGACGGGTCTTTCAGTGTCACTTAAATTTGAAACCCCTTAGATCAGTCATTAATTGGGACATGTCTTTAAGGGGGTCGTTGTCGGTACCAACCAGTTGTTAGTGTGTGTTTGTCAATGTTCAAGCCGATACCTTTTTACCCTTACCATGTACGGACGGCATATCTTACTTTTCCCGATTACCCGTCATACAGTCCATACATACAGGTCCTGCGAAATGGTTTGCTCCATCACTTGAGGACACTCAAAAATTATTGATTTCATTGGCGCTGCCGCTTTTTCCTCGTCTCCGTTTTCCCGTTTATTGTTGATGTTGTGACAAGTATTAGTTGGGAACTAGCCACCTCCATTGGCTCAGACATAGTCACGTTTCCAACTAGTGTACTTCCAGTCCTGTCTGGTCGGAGCTTCCCCAACACACGAGCGTTTCAAATGTTTGATGTAGTCTAGTATAAGCACACTCGTATGTTCTGCGTCTCTGTGTATTCATATTCAATTTGTTTAAGTTCTTTCTTGTGTACCCTGCATTCACTCTGTTGACTTTCCGTTCCGGGCGTTTTTCAGTCTCAACTGCAGCCCCAAAACAATACGGAGACTTTGCTCTTCTGCGTTGCTTCCGCTTTTTCCCTGTCATTTGCTGTTTTTGTTGCACTGTCCACACTTTTTTGGTTGGTCTTTATTTTTTTGGTTATTGTGTCGTCACTTTCCCCCATCTGGTTAAACAATCTGCAAATAATAAGCACAAGCAAAAAATCAAGTGAATTTAAGAACAATCAAAAAATTAGATCGAAGACTCAACTGCTTAAATGCTCTGATGATTATACGAGTCAGAAATTAAAATAATCTTTGAACTTTCTCTAAAAGGAGATTTAATGAAATCAAAATTCTAAGACACGGCCACTGTAAATATTTTGAGACTGTTGCCAGTTGATAGTTCTCTCCCCAGAGCCTAGTAACCTACCTTCCTCGGAGGTCTAACATTGGTCTATGGTTCTGTTGAGGTACAAGGTATGGTTGGTATGTCTCTGATGGCTTATGCGTCGATTGAGATGAGGAACTAAGATTGAAAGTTATTTATACTTGACCTCCTGTAAGTATTTTCTTTTGATCACAACACCGAATACATTTAAAGAGTAATGTAGGGTTGATAATTATTGGATATTTGATATGGCCAACGAGCTGTCAACTATATGCACTGTCCTGTCCGGAGCTATTGGAATCTCGTCATCTAAGTGGCCATCTATTCCAACGCCGTTTTAACATTGCTCCTGTCAAAATAGTGGTATACTTAGGACCCAGTACTTAAAGTGCCCAGACTCGCAGTTTACTCACCTGTTCCGAATTCACATTGCACTTGATAGCCTCGTCCAGCACACCATTTGCTCTATGTCCTGCGAATGTTGGAACGGACAGCTCTCTAGATGTCCTGCTCATTGATTTGCGTTCTTATTCTTATTCAAGTACATATGTATGTATAAAGATTATTAGTTAAGAAATTTCCCATTGATATTTGTAGACATTGATTACATTGATTTACAAACATTTTTCTTTTCGATTAAACTGTTTTTCTGAGTATTTGTTCAAATATGTATAAGTATATACTTTTCTTAGTTCCTATAAAAAAAAATTCATCGTTTTCATTTGGTTTAGCCCAACTCTATGTCCGTGCATTAGCTCTGTTCTGGGAATGGTGTTTTTGGGTATTATTTGTGGGGTTTACCGACTTAAAAAACCCGCTGCTGTTCTTTTTTTTCGAACATCTGACTCTGCTTTCCTTGTTTTGGTTCCGATGTATTTATGCACTATAGTTAGAGATTAGTTTAATTCTTTAATTTGAATATGATATTTTATAATTCCCTTCAAAAAAATCTTTCTGCTGTCTTTTCTGCATTTTCTTGGCATACATATGTATATGGTTTGGCCTCTTTTCTCAAACATGCTTTTGCTATGCCTTGAACAATGACAATTTTTTTATAATTTTTTAATTCTTTTTCTCTTGATAAAAATGTGTGTTCTTTTGCCTGCTGTTTTATATGTTTTGTGTGTTTCTTCGGGTTCTTGAAAAATATTTCTCTCCTATTTTCTTACCATCTGATGGCTTTCCCGTTATTTAATGTTTTGTAAGATTTTGTGTATTTTCTTTGTATGTGTAGCATGTCGTGGGTCTACTTTTGTTTTAATTATATTATTTATTTTTTGGGCATTAAAAAAAAAAATTCCCTCTGCTGCGCCTCTGCACAGCCCTTGTACTTCACTGCATAAAATTCATGACTTACTGCTCCTTCAGTGTTTTCAATCTTCTTGTGCTATTATATTGTATTATCGTGCTGCAATGTTTTTTGGTAGCTGTTTCATTTTAAGTTTTAAAGTCCTTGGATGTGCTCTATGTCTGATCCTGTGGTTTGTTACGCTTCTGATGTGTGCTGTTCTTTTTTCGGGATGCTCCAACCATCACAAAAAAAAAGCCCCGATCAACTGCAGTTTTCATCGTTGCTGCTTAGTCATGTCCGGTATTAGCTGGTCGTGCCAGTCATTTGTGCCATTTTCGGGTTTCCTCTCACGTTTTTAAGTTGTCAGGGTCGTTTCTTATTATAACAATAATATAATCATAATAATACAATAATCATAGTAATATGTATAATATTATAGTAATATAGTATACACATATAATAAAAATAAATAATATGTATAATAATAAATATTGTCCGCGTTGTATTTGCATTAGGTACATATGTACTATTGTTTGCCAATTGGAGTGTTTTTGGGTAAACGGAAGGACATCATATTTTTGTTTGCTGCTTGTCCAATAGGGGATACATTTTAGGCATCCAAAGTGGTGTGCCATCGGACCATGTTCTGAGAGTTTTTGGAAACAACCGAAAAGGCAAATATTGTACGTAATTGATGATTTTTTGTTTGGTTTATTTCCTTTCCTTTGCCATAGTTGCGTTTCCTGCACTGTTGCCTTTTGTGTAAAATCAGTCTATTCGTTACCTTAAGACTCCTTTCCGTGCAAAACCCACACCAAGCCCCACTACTTTCTATATATTTCTATCAATCCATTTAAATCGCAAAGAGATCGGTGCAGCTGGAAGAGGTGCGACGACTCAGCCAGTGGGATGCCTTGAAGCGCAGCAGCGACGAAACAAACGACTTGGTGCGTGCCGTCATCTTCTTGACCCTGCCGTTGCAATTGAAGAGGAACAGCTGCTTTCTGCACTCCGGACGAGCCCACCCGCGACGACCTAGATGCGAGTCGTCCATGGCCCGGCGCTGCAGTCTCGCGACCTTATTGTCCAAGGTCGCGGTGCCGATGGAGCATCGCTTGCCAACAGGGCTGATCGGTCTCACCGATTCGTTGCGGATGTTGGCCGCCAGGAGTTCAAACCGGGTCATGAAGCGATGTCGCCGCTGGGCCTCGGTTTCCTCGGAGTCCTCCAGATCACTCTCTCCCACATTCAGAATGTCTCGCAGACTGATGTGCGGACGATTGGGGTCGTCCTCGGCATCCGGAGCCAGCCCGTGGTCACTGTGGCACATGCTCAGTTGGCGCTCCAGGTGCATGCGTCTGTGGTTTTGGATGCTGCTCTGCATATTCACGCGCTCCAGGTCAGCCGGACTGAGCATGCTCAGGCGCTGGGGATTCAGTTTGACCTGAGCCACCACACCCACCAACAGCTCATTGACATTGTGGCACAGCCCCGCCGACGTCTCGATGAACTTGCAGGGAATCTCCGTGGCCACTTTGTGGCCCACTGAAATGGGGGCAAGAATAGAAAAGGGACGGAGAAGGGGGCGTGCCTTCGGATAGAGCGAAAACTCACTCTCTTGGGGCACAGCGCGATGGCGTTCCAGGTCCGCCTTGTTCCCCACCAATATGGCGCCGCGGCTGAGCAGCATGTCGTTTTCCCGCAAATAATGCAACACGCGTTCCGCATTCCGGAACGAGTAGACGTCCAGCACAGAGTAGACGACCACAAACAGGTCGATGTCGTATGTAGCGCAAAAAGCCTCCGTCTAAAGGAGAGCGAGGGCAGCAAAGACAGGCAGAGACGAGAGAGAGAGAGAGAGAGAGAGAGAGAACAGGTGAGCGATGTGGCACAGAAAAGTTACGAATGCATTTTGAATGAATCTAATGCATTCTAATGCATTTTTTGGTGCACCATAATGGGAGAGGGAGAGGGAGGGTGGCACTTGGACCGCCAGTTTTAACTAGGTTAAAGGTTCGATTGAATAATAAAAACCTTAAGATTTAAACTAAACCCTAGAAGCCTCTTTCGAATTTCGATTCCTGTATAAATCATCTTATTTTTTCGTACTTTCCCTATTTATATGTTCATCATTGTACTTGAGCGCTTAAGCAACTATTTGTGTGATCGTAATTGTGTGGCTATTCGGACTGTCGCAACTTGCAAACAGTTTCCAGTCATCTACAAGTCATTTACCAAAGTGTATCGCTACAAGAAGAACGAGTCTTAATGAAATTATTGATAAATGTATCACAGAGGGTTGCGAAGGAGCAGCTGAAAGGAACCTGGTAAAAGCTTCAACTGTGTCTGCCACACACCCAGACTGGCCACAGACAGAGGCACAGACAGAGGCAGAGGCAGAGGCAGACGGGGACAGACATGAAGGACACTGGAAAAACATAATTCAGGATTGCCCCGAATATACTTACCGACATTTCGCAGGCGGGATGATCCACAACTTCAATGTCCGATTCAACGTCATCCACCAGTACAGACACCGTCTTCTGCCCATATTCCATCTCTGCGGGATATCGAAAAACGAGAACAGACAACCATATTCAATTTCTAGCTAGCTGCATTGGTATGCAGGTACAGGCACAAGCACAGGCACAGGCATGACCCAGTTTCCAAGCAAAAGAGGGTCCCCCCGCTTTAGCCTGCCAATGCCAATACACATCTCATCTACTTCTGAGGAATTTCATTGAGCTGAGGACTGGCAATCCAGCAAACAAGGCTAATAAATCCTTTGTACTTGTACAAATTGTGTGCAAGTTCTGAAAAGCTGAAGCACGGAGCCGTAGATAAACACGGGTCTAGGGAACTTCATATTCACTTCATCGGCCTTTGTCACCGATAACAATGAATGACAAATAAATTTCTGAGAAGCTTAATAGTAGGAACAAATAACTGTAAAAATATGCCAGAGAGAACATAAGAAGGATTGATTATATTTGCAATTTAAAAATTAAAGATCTACTACGAAACGGAAGAGCTTGCTTTGCTAATTAACATATATACATACATGTGAAATTATATTATTGTGTCTTTGTGTCGGACGGGAAAACCATCAGAATTCTATCCAGACTCTGGAGAGCCCGTTTTGAGCCCAGGTCCTGGTCAATAGCCTTTGTTCAAAGGCTTCGCAAAAAACAACAAACAATCAAAACCAATAAAATAGAATGAGACACAGACGAGCAGAGAGATACGAATACCGAATACATGGTGGTGCACGCGAGACACACATCAGCCATCCGGAGAGCAGACGGAGCGCAATTGAAGCGCAGCACGACAGCAAGGGCCGAGAGCAAGGCACTAATGGACTGGAGGCGGATTTGTGGCGTGCTTTTGATGTTCACTCCCGTTTCCATAGTGACTCGCGGCCTGTCCGCAGATTGGTATCATGCACAGTGTTGCACGTATTCGAAATCCATGCGACTCTGCTCTGTATTTTGATGCCTGTGATGTAAATGAAATTTTGGCAAACTTTCCCAAAGGGCAAGACTCTAATGTAGTTCAATAGAGTCAGACATTTAATTACATTTGAAATCCAAATGATATTTGATTTCCCACTCTAATTAAAGGCAACCCGAGCTACCGATATCGGATGAATTATATGAATTCCTAACACTCGAGCAGACGGAGATATCATAATATCCTTCCTGACCACGCGGAACTGAACACCACGGATCCTATTAAACAAATAGTTTGTGAGCTTCAGAGTAGTATTCCACTTACCAAGACTTAGGTCGTAGCCGCAAATATGGTCCGAGGTCGTAAACTGGAACGATAGGGCTGACTTCCCAACCGCAGGACTACCAAGCATAGCAATCTTGAAGGTGGGCGGCTCTCCGGACAGAGTCTGCTGTGATAGGGCCCTTTCGATGATATTCCCCGATGCGTTTCTTTATAGTTTCGGGCGGGAAGAAAAAAGATGGGACAGTATTACCAAGTAACATAAGTAATAATAAGTAGAGCGCGTAAAAAGAGGAAAAAATAAATAAATATGTAAAAAATGGGAAAACATGATAAACAACTGGAAACAGCGGTGAACGCCGAGTTCCTTTCACAATATTCTCGGCATTGTTGACGTTCATCCCGGTGCAGATGGCCACCTTCTGCTCTTTATTTTTGTCCCCCGGTGATGGGGACCTCTGTACAAAAGAAATTGTGCTGTGTGTGAAAATTGTATGAAATTATTCGGCGAGCGTGCCCGCGGGGTGCCGCAGCTTCAGATGGAAATGTGGCGCCATTTCTGTGGTGTATGTGTGTGGGTTTATTGTCGTGTATAAACAAATTATTGCGTTCTGCCGTCTTTCCGCGCACTTTTAGCTATGCACTGCTTGCCACATACTGCTTGCAATGAAGTACATATGCTTGGAGTATTTGCTGCTTGATTTGCATGCTTTGGTTGTGTATTACCATGCACTACTTGCCGAAGTACTCACCTATTGTGGTATCGAATGCCGCTGTAAGAGGTACCCCCCGATGTCACTGAGTTGTTCGAGCGAGACCTGCGGCGTCTGGGAAAACAAAAAGGATGACAAGGATGGTAGACACAGACAACGTCAGACTACATCTTTGCAGAACACTCGAAACTTACCGCAGGGAGTCCCCTAAATTGCATACCCCATTCGAGGTAATGCTAAAACTGCGTAGGCGGTAGTACTCCATGCCCTGATCTTCTGCATGTTTCACCGCCTGACGCACCTCCGCGTGTTGTGGCTGGGAAAAGGCAGAGGACGACAGTGATGCAGATGGAAGAGATGGAAGAGAGGACGAGAGAGGCAAGAGAGGAAGTGACTAACACCATTAAATAGTTGATAGAGAGCTCACACCCTCTTAACCCAGGAAAATCATCATTTGTTTGATTTACTTTTGATTTCAATTTAAGAAGTTGCCAATTATACAAAGGATGTCCATCTGTGGTTAAAAGAGGTTAAATTAAGCGACCTTACGCTGGCTTTTAGCACCGCAATCAAGGATCTGCAAAAAAAAAGAGCTGGATCATGAGTTTTTATCGTAATGAAGCATGACGGAATCTATTGCCGGATGAGTCCTAGTTCATTAATTGTAGATTTACAGAAGGGCCAGCGCAACACTAATAGGCTAAGCTAAACTTATCCTTAACGAGCACACAATGTGCAAAAACATTATTTTGTTCATATTTTGCTCTGCTTTGGCTCCAGAGGACGCCTCCAGGGGATGCCAGCCAGCATTCAGATAGCATCCAGGCTGAAGGTGGAGTCTAGGGGATCGGGGCTCGGGACACGGGACTCGGGACTCGGGAAACAAGAGCCATTGAAGGCAAGTAGTAACACTCATCAACTCATCAGTGGATTATGCTTAATAGTAAGAGGAAGCCAGCAAAAATATATACGTTCACATAGATAGATGCTCGTAGAGGGCAGCAGAAGTGGTCTTGGCGGCAAGGGATTACACATGTATCCAGGGATATTTGTATATAAATATGTGTGGAAGTAAGAGTGCGGCAAGAGTGTTAGGCGGCAAGTTTTCAACATTCAGCATGAATGGACATTTGATACATTGTTCTACTTCTACTGCTCCTGCTCCTTATCCTGGGCCAGCTCTACTATCCATTGCCTGCTCGAGCTCCCACTCATTCGAGGGACGGGTGCAAGGATAGTTACTGCTAGTGCCAGCTTATCGGGAGGCCACCCCGTGGATCCCCATGTGGCAGGTTCACTCTACTTTCTAGTATATTTTTTGGGCACATTGAAAAATCAACGCAATAAAAAGGAGGAAGTCAAGAGCCACCTCACCGGCTATTTCTCTGTCTTTATGGCCGTGTGTCATTAACTTGCCTCATGGCTACCTGTCCTTATCGGGGGCCTGCACTTTCATAGGCGCTGCAGCTAATGTAATTAGTTTGGTGAAATTGCTCGAGTGCAAATTGTGCAACGTGAGCCTTGCTTTCCACCCTGCCACATGGGAAGCCGGCTGAAAGTGGAGCAGGCGGGAGCATTAACCCGTGCCCTGTCACTTTCTCGCTCGCACTATTTCACTGTGTCTCGTTGGAGGCAAAGTTTTTCATCATTTCTAGGCGCAAACTTTTTTGATTCGACAGCAAGAGTCTCGAAATTGATTTCATTGCGGCGCATCATCGGATCTAACTGAAGTGCAGTCTGCTTGTGGTTTGCAGCTTTCAACTTGCAACGTTCAACTGGCAATTAAAGCGGAGTATGGCGAAACCTTCAAACGGAATCAATGGCAGGCACGTCCCAGGGACCCTGGACGCCAAAGCGAATGGAAAGCGTTAAATGGAGAATAATGTCAAGCGTGGAGCGGACGACGGAAAAGGAAAACTGTCGAAGGCAGTCGCAGATCCTTTTCACACTTTTACGCCTCCTTTGCACGCCTTTGCATGGGCAAACAAGCAAAGCCCTGCCCTGAAGGCGACACAAAAAACTTTGCCTGGCGTGAAAACCTGGAATTCTCGTCGAATCTGGCACGGAACACGTTCCACGCCCAAAAGACTCGGCGCATACACGACTCTATATGTATGTATTTTATGGTGTGCATGGAAATGGCATGAGCAGAGCTCGGGACGTGACAACGGATTAAAGACATCCAAGTGTTTGCCAATAAGTAATCTGGAGCTGCAGATACGCCGAAGTGTCGTGGCGCTCGTCCTCTGCTTGCAGAATAACCCTATGCTTTATTAGGCATAATAGTTGTCAAGACTCATGCATGTGTGTATTTGAGATAAGTAAGCAGTAGATATTGCTTTATTTAATTGCTTTCGTTGCTATGGTACACATACTTGCATGGGGAATTGCACTGCTTTATATATTTCCACTGGGAACGAGCTTTTAATAACAGCCTGTTACTTAACATACAAAACTGCTTGATAGATTTATACGCCACGATCGACTCGGTGGTCCTCACTTGCTGATTAATAATTCTCACTACTTGATTCTGGATTTCACTGCTTCACTATTGTTGCCAATAATATCACTCATTGAACTTGATGCTCTGCTTGATTGTGAACGGATACTCGCATCTCAACTGTCAGCGCTCGAATCGAATAATTTTGTGTGATTAGTAATTGATTGGTTTTCGAAGATAATTGGTGAAATCCTTACCTACATACTCACCCTGGGGCACTCGGCCGGCATACTGGATGTTCTCCTTCGCTGCCTGGGCGCCACGCGGTTGCTGAGTACCGGCACCAACAAGGTGCCAGAGCTGTTATGCCGTTGTCCCCGCGCTGGGGATGCCGCTGCCTCGCCGATGGGAGGCTCCCGCTCGATATGCACTTGGCGTGCGCGTTTCGGTGTGCTGCACCCTGCCTCTACGGGTACCGAACCACTGGCTCCCAGTCCGCTGGACATTTCATTTACGGTGACCACGCCAGCGATGGCTCTCGCTTCGTTATATGAGGGTGGTGGGTGGTCGACCACGGTGCCGTACTGCGGGGAAACCGCCCCGCACATGGCTTGCTGTATGGTCAAAACCCTGGATACTTCCGCATGCTCTCTGCTTTTCAAAGAAAAACAAATTGTTACACAAGTCTAAAGATTCAAATCGAATAGGAATATTCAAAATATGGAAGCAATTTTAGTATTCTTAAGGAAGTATGAAAAATGGACAAATGGAATAGTCTTAGTTAAATAATTGTTTTTTCTTCGCCATTTGCGAACGATGTGAGTACAATACCAAGCTAGAAATAACCTTAAACATAGGATTGACATCTGAAACCAACCTGTGCTCGACGCTATGCAAGCTGCGTGGATGGACCTCTTGTGGCATATAGTGCCGGACCGAGTGCTGCATGTTTGGTTCCGCCGTGGAGCCACGACGAAGGTCTTGCTGTAGACATTGGGAAGATGACAAACAGAAGAAAGTATGAAAATTTGTCTAGATCTGAAAGGTTTTGCAGGTAAATAATGTTTGATGAGAATGTTGTTATGCTATCGAAAATGTTCAGCTATCAACTCGTTATAATTGTACAATACTATCTAGCGAATGCAAGTTCTGGATTAACTGCTATGAAGGATGTCAATTATGGAATTAAGTTATGGAAAAATGAGTTCAATCATTGATCAGTCGGTCATAAAGTATTATGAATGCTCATGAGTATCGGTTATCGAATGTGTTACCATTAAGTTATCGCCCGCACACTTCGTCTTCCCACGTATCGACTGGCGGATACCACTTACCCGACTGCCGCCTGCATGCTGGGCAGCAAAAATATATTCTTCGTATCGCGGTGGCGGAGCTTCAATATTTCTTAGATGCTGCCAATCCTGTACGGCCCCCACGGATTCGATGTTCCTCGGGTCCGCATGTCGACTCTGGGTGTGCACCATGGGGACTGCGGAGCTTCGTATTAGATTCCGATCGTTCTCCTGCTGGACCCACGCCTGTACGATGGGCCGGTTTCGAAAGCCGCCGCTGTGTCTGCTGTTGACCGGCGGTATGGGCAGCATCCGCTGGTGACCCACCCCGGCACGCTCCATCTCATACAATGGGCGATTCTCTACGAGGGAATACACTTTAGTTCACGAAAGATCGGGTTCATGTTTAAAGAGCTAGTGACTATGGACATACGGCCGTTGCTGTAACACTGTTCTGGGCGGGACGCAGGCGTAGGTACGTCATATCTGTCTGTCGCTTTTGTACACTCGGCATCTGCGCAGACACACATAGATATCCATGAGAAGGCTGGCGGACAGAGACAAACCTCAACTGAGTGGGCATACCACCTAATGTAGTCTTTACCCGAGGGACCCGTACAGAGACGAACGCGTCTTAGTTTCGGATGGTGAACATTGGCAGGTGCATCCACCCATGCCATCCAGCAAACTCAGTGTCTCTCTGTGTGCGTCTCTCGCAAAATATGTTCCCCAACTCAAAGTCAAATAATGAATTAAAAAGAGGGGCGGAAGCATTCGATACCCTTGCAGAGTCCCACACCAGCTATGTTTATGGTGAATTCATCAAATTCTACAACAAGATAGCTTTAAAACGTAGGGTCTACTGCTTAAAGCAGACTGAAGGAGTAAATACTCATGGTCGAACTCAAATAGGTAAACTCGGCAAGGGTATCTTAAGGGATTCTTACGGGCTTGTCAGTGTGCATGTGTTTTCTTAATTTTGCGTTTAGATGTTCACAGGGAAGCCAAAGTATTAATTGCTGATATTCACATATGCTTAGTGCTGATACTCAATATAAAAGAGCGTGACATGAGATTTACGATGAAACTGTGGGAGAATGACCTTACTTAATCGATTTGTCTAAAGCTTTACTCCTGCAACAAAAACATGCCAAAAATAACCGACTAACAACAGTCGCAATGTCTAAAACTTGTCTCCAAAATATTTACAATAAAATTCAAGGGCTCTAAAATTCTCTAACAATACCAGGTGCTACAAAATTTTACTAAGAAATTGTAAGTCCTTCGGGTCCTGGAGTGAACTGCGATAAATGGATTTACATATCGTTCTAATTCAGTTGATTTATGATTATGATTCATTCAGACTCTGGACAGCTAGTTATTTGTACTAATCGATCGGCCAGACAACCGATAGTTTTGCATAAATTCGAAAAACTTAAAATTTGGTACAGTTAATTGCATCTACATATAAGAAATTAGATACATTTCAGACCGATCCGACCACGCCCACCCCTACAGACCATATAAGGGACCTAAAAGGTGACTATAGTATGTTGAAAAATGAAATGTTTGTTGATCCAAGGGTTGTCAATATACCCGGTACATACATATGTATTAGATATGTGGTGAAAGTTGATGTGTGTAACACCTAGAAGGAAGTGTTTCCCCAAAAAGTATATATATGTATGTATACATATATAGTCGATATAGCTCTGTCTGTCCGTCTTGTTTGACGCCTAGCTATCAGAGACTATAGCAGATGGAGAAACCAAATTTTGTCTGAGGAACCTGTGATATCGCACCGAATCAGGTTTCTTTCGAAATTTTGCCACGCTCCCTTCCGCCCCCGCAAAAGACGAAGGAAACAAAAAAATCGTCCATTTTGCGAAAAACGGTACAAAAAGAACTAAAATATATTGTATAAAATACATAAATCACAATCTCACACATGCATATACTGACTGAGTGCCGGCTTACAACGTAGAGCCGTGGCCCTTGCCGCGTGGCCCGGGTCCTAAAAAGAAGATGTGCCCTAGTCAAGCCCCGTATTCAATGGCACCGAAGTGGAACCCCTTCGCTTGCTGGTGTTCATGCAAAAAATACAGCAAAGTGTCAGAATCCTGGTTATGGAGGAAACATTAGGGTCAAGGAAATAATGTCAATGATTGAGTGACCATTTGTCGACTTTGGAGAATTTGATAGGAGAATGAGTTACAGATGTGTGTGCGCTTTTTTTTTTTAAATAAATTGAATGTGAACACTTTTCAGCACTTGCAGATGTATAGTTTTACTCTAGCCACACTGGAAAAGCCCCTGTTCGTTGAACAAAACTTAAAACAAAATAAATGCCAAGCTTACAAGGCTTTATCCCCTATGTGTTCAAGCATTTACCGACATCAAAGATCCGATCCGTACAGCTTCTACGTTCCTCGTCATCCAGCTCCATTCGCCCGAACGCATCGATAGCTACTGCTACACTGCTGGCCCCATTAACCGGCAGCTGGCGACGGATGGATCCTGACCGGGGCGGTATTTGCATTTGTGGCCCGTATGCATGGTGATAGCCGCTTGAGGATCCAGCGGTGGCCACTGATGGTGGTGTGTAGCCACTTGTGGAACCAGCGCTGACCTCTAGCTGTAAATTATGATGTGAATGGAATGAAGATTGAGGCGACTAGGATAGGCAGATGTGGTTGGAAGGAGAAGGGATCCTTTAGAAGAATAAAAACTATAAACCTTGCAATTTACCTCAAGCGGGGTACGTGGCTGCTCTTGAGCCAGTCTTGGCCTGAGATGGTCGGCGCTTGCTGGCGGTACATTTCCGCCGCCACCGCCCATGCCCCCGCCGCCGACCGGACCCGGCGTCAGTTGCATATTCGTACCACTGGAGCTGGAACTTACATTTGGGCCCAAAAGCATGGGCCCGAGGCCGGTATGGCTGAGGCCTGGGCTGTTATGGTGTTGAGCGTTGCGGTCATGGGTCGAGCGCAGCGTGTGAATGCGTCCGGGGGGCAAGCAGGGGTAGTGGACCGACGGCTCGTTAACGTCGCTTGTTTCGCGATAGAATTCTCCACCGCTACTAATGCTGGCGCGGCGTCCGCGTTGAGCATTTTGAAGCTGCTGCAGATGCTGCCGATGCTGGAAGCTGCGCTCGGTGCTGTCGTCACGATCAGAGCGGCCGCTGGCGCTGTTGCTTCGTAAGCTGCCACCGCAGCGTCCGCGCTGCGGGTTCATCTTTCTGGGCTTGGGTCGCGGTATGGGTATTACCTGCAATGGACACGAGAGAGAGAGAGGCGAAATAGCAGGCCGGACGATCGGCAGGTGAGTAACTGATTCGCGTTAATCGTGCACTGAGTGGTCGAGGGAGGGGCAGGGACCGCTGGGGCACCGGTCGGGGTCAGTGGCGTCTGTGTGGACGTGGACGGGGGGGCGGCTACCTTATCCTCCAGCATGTGGGCAAAGAGCTCTGCATGGTCCTCGTCTTCGTTCATCATGTCGAAGAAATTCTTGAACGTTTCCGGAAACGAGGCCGGAAATTGGACCCGCGCATCCAGCTGGGTATCCATGGTGATCCCGCGTTTTTCCGCTTTTCCGTTTCCGTTTTCTTTTTCGTTTTCGTTTTCTTGCTCTTTGTTTCTTGTTCACTTCTCTTCTGCTTTCTTCTCGACTTCGTTTGGTTCCTATTATTATTACTTTTGTTTGCGAGAAATATGTTTTAAGGGAGGTGCGTGGCCCCACGACGACTGTCTGCCACAGACACAGACCCACAGAGCCAAGACACATATTCGGGGGACATGCAAGAAGAGAACACGCATCAAAGTCATTAGACGGGATAGCGAAGAGCGTGATGGAGGCAGGATAGCAGGCGGTGTGTGTGTGTGTGTGAGTGTGCGTGATCGCGTGTGTGTGTTTGTGTGCTTGCATCTATAGATGTACATATGTATGGTTTGGTATACGTTAGCTATTATTACGAGTATCTACAAATTCGTTGGACTATTAAAATCAAGCCTTCCGCCTGAACGTCAAGCAGTGCAAGCAGTGTCCGACATACAATATCTATATACAATCTAATGCTAGTGGAAAAAAAGCTGTCGGACTCTGTTCAGAATTAATTCGCTAAATAACTTAAGTAATTATTATGCTTAGAGATGCTCTCACTCCCTTTTAGCTGTTGAGGTTTGGCCAAACGGCTGCACCTTAACCGATTATCCATCGATTTGTATGCCTTATTAATGTACCTATACCAACAAAAATTGTTTTCTACTTTTCCGAGTTTTCAAAGGGAACATTTTGAAAAATTATACCGCAAAAAATTAAAAGTTTTGAATTTTGAAGCTTAATATTAACCAGATGATAAGATTAACCTACAAAGTGTTCGGGTAGCATTTAAAGCTATATTCATCAGCTTTTCAGCATTTCAGAATTATAACCAGATGTAAGATACTTAATTTATGTGAAAACTGCAATACCTCTGATAAAAACAGGAACAAAATACTAGATTACAAAAATTTCTTAAACAAAATTAAACCATAAAAAGCAAGAAACATGTTTATAAAATTTGTTTAGGCCCCAAATCTATCAGAAACGAGGGGGAACGTTGTGAGTTGCTGCAAAAACCGCAACTCTACATTTATACCCGATACTTAGTCAGCATGACTCTCCCCCACCAGATGGCGCTAACAGTGCACGACACGAAAAAGAGTGCGTGCGAGAGAGACAGAAAATTATTATTACAATAATTTTTGATTTTTATTGTATAATTATTATTTTTTAATTTATTAATTATTATTATAATTATTCTTGATTTGTATTGTATAAATATTATTCTTGATATTTAATGAATAATTATTATTATAAAAATTATTCTTGAATTTCATTGAATAATTATTATTATTATTATAATTATTATTTTTGATTTTTAATGAATAATGATTATTTTTGATTTTTAATGAGTAATTATTGATTTGGATTCTAATTGTTTAATTCTTATTTTTGATTTGTATTATTTTTGCTTAAAATAAAACTCAAAAAATTAAAAAAAAGAGGGGAAACGAAGTTTTTTTAAATATACGTTTAATAGTGAGATCTAACAGGAGTGTGGATACCAAATTTGTTTACTCTAGCCTTAATAGTCTCTGTGATTTGTGGATGCCCCAGATTTTCGTCCTTTGCGGGGGCGGAAGGGGGTGTGTCGAAATTTTGAAACTAACTTGTCAAGGTCCGATATCACAGGAGTGTGGATGTGTAACACCCAGAAGGAAGCGTTTCCGAGCCAATAAGTATATATATTCTTGATCAGCATCAATAGCCGAGTCGATATAAACATGTCTGTCTGTCCGTCTGTCCGTTCGTCTTGTTTGACGCCTAGTTCTCATAGACTATACAACCTAGAGTCACTACATTTTGTATACAGACTCCTGTGATATCATACTGTCCAAAGTATTTTTCAAAATTTTCACCAAGTTCTCTCTCTCTCACACACACAAACTCTGCCTCATTTTGGTGTAGACAGATATGTATATACAAAAATGTAAAAGAAAAAACAAAAAAAAATATAATTTATATATATAAAAGTCTCCCAAGCGGTTCGACCGATTTTTAGGACATTTTTTGTTCATCCCCTTTGCAAATAGCGATACCAAACTACATATAAGAGACAAATATTGCATAGAAGAAAAAAACTGGAGTGCAAAGGGATCCCCATTCGTGAACAGCTGAGGGGGGGCACCATTTGAAGTCCGTCTCAGTCCCGCATTCTCTACGGGTTCCTTCTTTTTTTTTTCCATCAGCCAAACTTAAAAAGTTATCAGAGCGCCCGACACTTTCGAAGCTAAAGGCAGGGGGGCTGGAGGTGCTTTAAATTCAAATTTACATACATACAATCACTGTCGAAAGGTAAATTGTTTATGCCGTTCATTTGACGAACTCTCCCCGCATAAAACCATCGTTTAGAGAAACTGATTGCATGGCCGAATATTCTGGAATGGATTTGTGATTTTAATGGATGCAAATGATCTAAATTTGTTTCTGATATGGATTGACTTGGATTGAAATCCATACCTCCAAATGGGAACGGGACAGAAACTTATCACTGTTTCAATAGAGGAACGAAGGAACGAAATGGGAATGGTAAATGTTCAATTTGGATGTATAGTGGTACGAGAGCGGTATGATGGCAAGGATCAAGTTGATACTGAAATTCAATGCGACAATCATTTATGTACATATGTATATGAAAGAAGAAAAAATTCCACGAGCGAGAAGTGAAGAAAAAAGGGAATGGGATGGAAAAAATGTTTATGCAAAATGAGATAGTAAAGGAACGAAAAGGATAGAACATATGCATACATTAAAAACTGGAAAAACGCCGGAATTTAAAATAGTTGAAATGTAGGGAGGGGAGCGTAATAGAGTAAATAATTGGACTATGTAAAAAATGCAGTGCATAGTGCAGAGAGGGTGGTGAATAGAGCTAGAATGTGGGGAAAAGGGTAATGAATTCATAGAGGAAAAAAAGTGAAAAATACGAGTAAATGGGGACAAAGATAGCAAACTGTTGCGCTTGTGGGGAAAATCCTGCAGAAGGGAAACGTATCGGAAGACTGTGTAAAGTGACGCAAGAGTAATGACACCAAATCAGCTTTGCTTTCGGCTTACATACACCTCCTCTGTACCTCCTCCCGTGCACATGTCCCAGCCCTTGGAGGAGGGCTTTCCCTCCCTAACGACTTCAATATGTGGTAAGCCATGAGGGCGTGGCCGAGTGCAGTACAGTCTAGACAGGCGGCAGCACCACAGAATTCCGGACACCCCCAACAAAGGTCAGGCTGTTGACCCGACTTGGTGGTGCAGGCGTCCGTTGTGGAAAAAGGCTTGTCAGGATTTGCTTAAGAATGTTACGAGTGTGTGATAGTCACCCGAGCATCTTTACGATGTGGCACAACACTTTAATTTCCATAGTGATACCCCCTGAGCTAATTTGCCAATTTGCAATGGGGGAGGGGCAAGGGTTTCTATGGGCACCGGCCCCAGTCCCTACAATTCCTAAACATCCGCGCCCCCTGCCAATTAGTGGGGCCCTAGCGGAAGTCACTCTCTCTCTCTCTCTCTCTCTCTCTTTCCCTTTCCCTCTCTATGTGTGTGTATATATTCTTTCTTCGTTCGTCAGCCCCAAGCCCAACCATGTCAAGTGGAGACCTGCTGCCCCAGACTCTCCGCTGGCGTCAAGCTTATTAAAAAGTTGCGGACACAGTGAAGGGGGTAGAGATTGCCAGCTGGCGGATGGTTAGCGGGGGACCTGTTTGTCTGGCTTTGCTAAGCGTTTTAAGCGTTTAGTGCCCTCGTAAGAGTGGTGCCACAAAACAAGGGCAGCCGCTTCACCTGCTCTACTCCTGCACCTTTGTCAAGAGGACGTGGCACGACACACATACAAATGCGCGCATGTAAGCCCTTCATCATATCATTTGTGGACCTTTTAATTAGCAAACCAAATGCAAGTCCCACTAAGCATATGGGCATTTGAGGAAGGCGCTTTGGCGTTCAAGGTATCCGCCTCGTATTTACTCTCGTGCGACGAGTCGAAAATACAGATAAAATCTAATAAATCGAAATAGTGTGTATGTACATTTACACCCCTTCCACTGCATGTGCATACGTATACTACTTACATACAAATGTGTGTCAGTGTGTTATTTCATGTTTTGTAATCAACTCTAGCCTTCCGGGCCTCCCTTTTTTCGGTACACCTCCGCTCCAGCCTTGAGTAATTTCACAGCACTCGAAGACTTTTCTGTGTGTACACAACACTAGGGAGCTGCCAACATGTTGATGCGATAGTTGACAGTTGAAGTTGAAAGTTGCTTCGATAGTTGCTGTTGCTGTTCCTTTGGCTTCTGTTTCCTTTTGGATCACTTGACTTTGTGCCCCTTCTCTCCGTTTCCGGTTCCGGTTCCGGTTCTGGTTCTGGCTCTCTTTCTCTTTCCGTGATTGTTTGCATAGGTCACGACATGGTTGCTCTTTGTGACGGGTGCCCTCTGGCCGAAGGCCGACTGCTGACGGCCGACGACTGATGCTGATAATTTATGCCACACTGACCCAAATCCAGGACGGGAAAGGACGGGGCCAGACAGCGGGTTTTTTTTTTCATGGGGAAGGCAAGGGCAAAGGAGCAGATAAAGTGGCATTTGGACTTGCCACCAAACAACAACATCAAATACATCAAACACAGAAAATACATCAAAAACACCTAGAAAATATGTTGTAAGTAAAGAAAAGAAACACAAAAAAAGTACGGAAAAGACGTGGATGGGACAAAAGTGAATAAAAAGGCGCCTGGAATTTGATTAGCACAACTTTAAAACACATGATGTGGCAAAAGTGAACGTAATATGCGAAAAGGACCACGAAAAGTAAATAAAATGCGATGAAAATAATGAATGGGGACATTCCAAGAGAGATTGAGAGATGATAGAGAGAGAGGGAGAAACTGAGCACCTTATAAATTTTAAATGTTTCCCTATCGAATCCATAAACTATTCTCACTGAAAGCTTAACAAATAATGTTCAG